TTCTACGATTGAAGGTTGTGGCCTATGATTTAATCAACATTAAGTTGAAAATGTTTAGGGCTTGTTATTAGAGGAAACAGAAAATGGATTTGTGAAAATGTCCACAGGTATTGGATTTGTTAGTTGAAAATGAAGGTTAGGGAATCTGTCCCTTTTTCATAAATCTATGTTCTCTGGAGCCAAGCACTGAGCCTCAGGAGAAGAGATCTTAAATGCTCATTAAATTGTATGTCGATGTGGACATCATCAGAAGATAATGAAGCACATTTGAAGTCTGTCTGAATAGATGTAAATGTCAGGGTAGTGCTTTTTAATCTAACGTAATTTCTAGTTCATATCAGCCATTTTCCTTTGTCTTAGACGTAAAACCAAGAGATACCACATTTGCTCTAAGCCAAAAACTTGCAAATGATTTTGTAATAATACAACTCTTAAGTTTCCTAATCTCTCCAGAGTGAATGTTATACCTCTTGGGAGTTTGGGGTGGAATAATTAAGTGATAATGTGAAGTGTGATGGCTGTGGGCGTTTTATTCCCTCCAGAGGTCTGCTTTCATCAGAGTTGAATAGAATAGTGCCACATTGGCAGCTTTTGCTTCCGAAGGAGAAGGTAATCTTTCTCACTGACAGCACCATCCGTAGCACCAACTAGTCCAATATCTGCAAAAAAATGAAACTACTTCTCCTTTGCAACTTTTAAGATGGAGGTATAACCAAAGAGAACTTAAAATGAGGTAGTTATAAAAGAAGGCAGTCTTTACCCTTTATTGAGGTCTCTCTATATATACATATACACATATATAAAGTTAATACATACAAAATTAGAAATGTTTGAGCTGTGTGTGCACTTAGCTTGACATTTCACTCATTGATGGCAATTATTGTAACACAGAAACCTCCTTTCAAAGCATCCCTTTGTTAAAAGTGATTAGATTCTTTCCCAACTAAGAAGTTGACAGCAATGAATTAAAAATCAGTGTAAGGCATGCTGTTGGTAATGCTAATTTGGGATCTGACATAGTGCCCTTTTCCAGAATAGTTCAGGCTTATTGATTTTCTCATCTTCCTCATCTCTTGCTTAGATATAAACCATATGGAATGTGCACTCAAAACAAGTTAACTCATCATTTGTCCATTTATTCATTCAACACATATCAGTGAGTGCTTCCTGTGAGTATGACACTAAGAGAGATGCTTGGAATGTATAAAAGAACAAAATTAATTATTTTCTTTCTTAACACATAAATAAATAGAAAGGAAAAATACTGTAGAAGAAAGAGGAGATTGAGGTAAGAAAAGTGGGACAGCAACAGGAAAGTAATAGTGAGTGACCAAATAGAAGTGGAGTGAGGGAAGAAGAGCAGGAGCAGAGGAAGTTATTGAATTATTGAGGGTGAGATTATGAAGAGTTGTGTAAGTCATTGAAGAGGCTGACTTTCACCCTGAATAATGGGGTCCTGAGAAATGGCATGACCTAAGTTAAAGAGCTCCTCTCTCTGAGGGCGAATGATATGTTGGCATAAAACAATTTAAATACATACAAAGGAGACAAATCCTTTAAAGAAATTAAAGTCTAAAAAAAATGAAGTTTTGTTGTTTATTTGTTGTTGCAGTGTATACTCCTATTGTCAAAAAAAAAAAAAAAAAGTTTCGGCTCTTCCATTCAAATCTTAACTCGGGTCACTGACCTTCAGAGTTTATCCCAAATCATAGAATGTTTGTGGTTTTATGCTTAACCTCAAAGCCTATCACAGATATCAAGAAACAGACTCCAACACAGATGAATCAGGTAGCTACTCACAGAGGGGGAAAAAGAAAGAAAGACTCTAGGGAAGCTTAGAAATTTGCCTCTATTTGGGCTTGGGTCTGACTGAGAAGCATGCTATCAACTGTGAACCAACATTTCTGTAGACCATGCCAGGCTACTACAATCCTACTACTATACATGAAGGTATAAGTAGAAGAGTTGCATCCAGTTCAGCAATTGGCAAAATAATGCAAGACTCTACCTGAAAAATAACGAAAGAAAGAGGACTAGGGGCTGTGACCGAAGTGGTAGAATGCTTGCCTAGCAAGCAGGAGGCCCCAAGTTCAAACACCATTACCCCCAAAATAAATAAGCAAATAAATAGTCTCAAAAGTGCTTTAGTGTATTTAATGAAATGTCCCTCCCATATCTATTTTTTATTCATTTATTCACATGTACATACATTGTTTGGGCCATTTCTCCCCCATCCCCCTCCCCCGCTTACTCCCTCTCCTCCCCTTCCCCCCTTGCTTCCAGGCAGAACCTGTTCTGCCTTTAGCTCTAACTTTGTTGAAAAGAAGACATAAGCACAATAAAAAAGACAAAGCATTTTTGCTAGTTGAGATAAAGACAGCTATACAGAGAGATTCCTAGCATTGCTTCCATGTACAAATGTGTTACAACCCAAGTTGATTCATCTCTCCTTGACCTTTTCACTAGTTCCTGATCCCCTTCCCATATTGACCTCTGTTGCTTTAAGGTTTCTGTATTAGTTCTTCTGCAATGGGGACATCAAACACTTTCATGTTTTGGGTTTTCTCCCTATCCCCATACCTCCCATATGTGCTCTCCTCTTAGCATGTGACCCAAGTCCAACAACATTGCTGTGTTTGCCCTAGATCTAAAGTCCACATATGAGGGAGAACATACGATTTTTGGTCTTCTGAGCCTGGCTAACCTTGCTCAGAATGATGTTCTCCAGTTCCATCCATTTACTTGAGAATAATAAGATCTCGTTCTTCTTCATGGCTGAGTAAAATTCCATTGTGTATGAATACCACATTTTCTTAATCCATTCGTCTGTAGTGGGGCTCCTTGGTTGTTTCCATAACTTAGCCATTGTGAATAGCATTGCAATAAACATGGATGTGCAGGTGCCTCTGGAGTAACCTGTGCCATGTTCGTTTTTTAAAATGTTGGTCTGTGGAAGTAACTGTGTGATGGAAAGGGATGGTCAGACTTCAGACTGCTTTCTAGTTTTGAATATTAAGTATAGTGACATGGTTCTCTTCTCTAATAGTATTGCTTAGAAATGTTGACAATGAAAATTTGAAATGTTATTTTAACAAACCCACGAAATTAGCCATGGTTAGGATGTGGGACTTTATATACACATGACTATAAAGTTCTTACAGTTTAAATTTGAAACATACATGATCATAAATTAAAGTGATAAATTTCCTCTACAGTTTTGAGCTTTTATGATTCATATGTGAGGAGTTACATCTAGTTGAGATTTAAATGACCAATGTTTAACTAGAAAGGAGCAAAGTTTTGTGTCTAACTTGGTTGCTGTGTGTAATTGGGAGGAAAAAGTGTGTTCATAGGAAAGATAATTGATAGTACAGCGGCCACAAACTTTTTCCATGCTCTGTGGGCCATAGTCATCTTAAGAACTTCAAGAAATGACTGTATAGCTTTCTTTCTTTTTGTTTGCTTGTTTGTTTGTTTGTTTGTTTTGTAGTTCTGGGTTTGAACTCAGAGCCTACACCTTGAGCCACTCCACCAGCCCTTTTTTTGTGATGAGATTTTTTGAGATAGGGTCTCTGATCCTCCTAATCTCTGCTTTCTGAGTAGCAAGGATCACCAGGTGGCATGAGCCACCTGCATCTGATGTAGGCTTTCTTTTATTTTTTTAACTAGAGTATGATTATGAGTACTTATAATACCAAATTAATCAGCTATTTAGCTCTTATGTTGGACTGGTGGACCAAATCAAAGAAGCTACATGAGTATCTGATCCAGAAACATATTTGACTGACTAGAGGTGTGATCAAAATATTTACATACAATGGGATCTAATTCTGGTATTTTATAATAATTAGACCATAGTATCTCATTTTGAAGCAAACAACAACAAAAAACCCTTCAATGATTCTGATGCACACTTGACTCTGCTTGAAAATCTCTTCTCTACATAGAATTCTTATGACTTGATACAGGTAGAAATGGAATAAAGTCTGGCAGAAGCATGCAGATTTGACAGTTTTGCATGGTCATGGGTTTCTAATGCTTAATATATTCCATTTCTCCCCAGGATTATCATAGGACCTAGCAAGTAGTTTGAGGATTTAGTAATTACTTAATAAAAAAGCTATCGGAGAAGAAATGAATGAATCAATTAATGACTGTGACATTTTGCAGAACAGGAGTAAGGAGGTCATGATAGAGTATCCATCAAGAATAACTTGAGACTCTTAATTGGTTCATAAATGCTCTAATTAAAGATTTTGATAATGATCAATATAAGAAAATTCACTAGTCCAAACCAGTCCTTATTTCTTATGTACAATGGTGATATAGAGCAAGAGCTCAGTGCTCCCCCATTCTTCGAAGCTAACACTATAGCATAGGCCTTTGCAAAAAGAAAGAAATTTTATTGAGGGTCAACCATCAAGTTGTCCCTCTAATTGATTGGTAGCAGGAGAATGTATAGGAGAAGAGAAGGAAGAATCTGCTTGTTGATTTTATGATGAAAGGGCATCTATGCCTCTTGTGCAGGCAATAGATGTTATCCTTTCTGTCCACAGGTCACATGCTTTTTGTATTTTTTTTAGGAGGAGTTATCATGTTTTTTTGGGGGGGAGTTGCATTGTGATATAAAAAGTTTATCTTCCAGGTTAGTGGCAAACTTTTTGCATATCTATTCTTGAAAAGCCAGGTTTCAAGCCAACTTTGAGTGGATTCTGGAGGTACTGTCTGTAAAACAACTTAAGGGCAGAGACTTTATCACTTATGAAGTTTATGTTTAGGTGTGTCTAGACCTCATTTGGTTTCACTAGCATTATTATACTTTTATTAAAGTTTATCTTCATTAAGAACTTTTGTGTCCACATAATTTTCCTTTAAGTCAGTGATAATGAATCATGAATAACCAAGGGGTTGATTTTTTTTTCTCCTTCCAAATCAAATTACGGTAAGATGTCACCATTTCCAATTCTAAATAATCATGACTGTCTTGCTATCCTTTGCAGCCAGCCATTGCAAACCCTGATATCATGTTTATTAAAATTCACATTCCATGGGACACGCTGTGCAAGTATGCAGAGAGGCTGAATATCAGGATGCCCTTCAGGTACTTTTAAATTTCATTTCATTTTATCATGCAATACCATAGACCAATAAATGTAGCCCTTTCTACAGAGAAAGTGCTTTTTCTTCCAAAGTGTAGAGAATCCAAGACAATTTTTTTCTTTCTAAATTGCTTGCTTAAAGTGGTAATTTTTCCGATTCTCTGGATACTTTATATCAGTTCAAGGTGGAACTGTCTACAGATAGGGTAAATTAATTATTCCCCAACTTCAACTTGTACCAATTTCCAAGAATAGTCTACTCTCTTATTTCATATGAGAGGACACAAATTTCTGTTATTATTGTGGCAAGCGGGAAGTGTAAACATATAGCACCTTCTGTATAAAAATAGGTCTTCCGTGATAGCTGTTACCAAGAATTATTTTCAAGTCAGTTCAATGAGGGTGGTTTCTTAGCTGTGTTGGCAGAATCAATTGATAAATGATAAGGAGAGGGTGTTCTTTTTGAAAATGTTTCAGTCCTTCCTTTGGGTAAGCACACATTGAAATTTGTTTCCTTATCTTGAGTATCTGTTGTCATATGCAGAATGTACCACCTTCCTCCTCTTTCTCAAACCTCCTGAAATTCGCCAGGGCTTCTACTATATGGAAAATGTTAACAGATATTGAGAATAAGAAGGCTTACACAGATGTGGAGCTCAAATTGATTCATTAAATGCTAGGAAAGGTTAAAAACGTTCAGTGTAAATGAGATTCCAAGTAAAAGTACCTTGTGTTAAGGAACTCTAAGTACAATTCAAACATATGGAAAAATCTCTCAGACTTGGTAGCCAGGAACAAGCCAACTCTGATTGGGTGCTAGCTCTGTGGCCTCCTCTTTTAAGAACACTAATCCCACTCCTGAGGACTTCATCCTCATGTGCTAATAACCTTCCAAAGTTCCACCTTCAAATACCATGAGGTATCAGAATTTCAACTTAGGAATTAGGGTGAAGGGAGGAGGAAACATTTAGTCCAGTGCTATCAGTAACGTGTTTGCTTTATTCAAAATACTTGATTTAATAATGGATAAGATTTTTTTCCTATCAATAATTCCAAGCATGTTCATTCTTCTGTAGTCTATGGTAGGGGGAAATATATAAAAGCAACACCAGCCTATGGTGACATACATTTCATATGATTCTTCCCATCATCTCGTTCTTTTTTTTTTTTTTTAAGATTGAATGCCTCATCAGAGCACACCAGCCACTTTTCTCTCATTTCCCTTATTCTTACCATTTCAAGGAGCTTAGTGATAGGATAATTGGTATTCTCATATAATTTTCAAAAAAAAAATCTTTATTGAATTTGAAACCTTTGTTTCTTTCTTTAGAAGTGCATTAGACACAGTGCAGCTCGGATCGCTAGGCTGGGTGCCATGGTGTTCTTCTATCCAGTCCCATGGGATACTTGAAAAAGAGTGCACTTCTCAGTCAGATGGGTTTTATAAGTGATATTCATTTTTTTCCTTACCCGGAAAGATTGAATTCAAATAAAGAATTCTTATGTATTCTAAAAAGTAAATAGAAAATAACTGAATTTAAGTACTTACCATTTCATCTCTTTTCGAAGCATTTTTATTAGCATATATTAATTGTACAGGGGGTGTCATCATATTTCTATACATTCTTACAGTGTACCTTGGTTAGACTCATACCTCCATCATGTTCCTTCTTCCTCCTCCACCCTGTTTAAAACAATTACAACAGTTTTCATTGTTCTATTTCATATGAGCATATAAACTACACCAACTGTATTCACCCTCCTTTATCCCTCCTTATTGATGCTTTGCCTGAAGTTCCTTCTTCATGTTTTCCTCCAAAAAAAGTCTGTGATTGCTACATTACTGAAAGTTTAGAAATTACCACTGAAATTCTCATGATTTAACAAATAAATCTTAAGAAATGTCCAGCATTTTCTAAAGTACAACAAATAGTACTATTAAGACAGGATCATAAAAGAAGAATATCTTCTGTCCAAATTTTTCCTTAATTTTGAGTTAATAAATAGTCATTTACTTTGGGAATTTTTAGAGAAGAAGTTTTTAGTTTTTAGAATGCAATAATTTCATAAGGGAAACTTTAGAAAAATGAAAGTTTTTGAACCTAACCACAGAGAATTTGGCACTTTAAGTCTGGGATAGGATTGGATTATATACCTTTTTAACAAGCATCTCAAATGATAAGAAAATACTGCTGATGATTAGGGAATGTTGTCTCAAGTGTTTTAATGTTTCAAAGCTCCTTATAATTTTTATAAATTCCAAGAGGGAATTATACAATGTGGTCTTTCCCTAATTTCTACCTGATGCTGATACCTTGGAAACGCAGTTGTGAGAAATGCTAAAACAAAGAGTTGTTTTGGAACATCTTTCCAGACCAGTTTAAATAATAGATGTTGCGTTAATTAAATTCTTAGTAACCAATTCTCATTTATTTATGAAGTGCACCTGAAGTTTGGGCTTACGTCCAACACATGAGAGAATGCTACTGAAGCATAAGCTGTAAGCTATACACCAGAGTTTTCATATTCAGTTTAAGGCCGTCTTGAGCTATATAGTGAGTTCAATGCCAACCCGAGCTACAAAGTGAGACCCTTCATTAAAAAAAGAAATATTTAAAAAGAAAAAAAACTACAAGTATTACAGATGTCACTAAGAGTAGAGCTAACTTTATCAAAATGTGCTGCTTAAATAGATCTGTAACATATTTTTTATGAATTTTTATTAGAATATATTCATTATACAGGGAGGGTTCATTGTGACAATTCTGATTAGACTTATATTGCACACTGGTTACATTGCCCCCATTGTCTCTCCCCCTCAACCCCCTCCTCACCCCACTTAAAGCCATTTGAAGAGGTTTCTTAGTTCTATTTCATAAGGTACATGAAGTCCATCTATCATATTCTGTCACCTTAATCTCCTTCCTTCACTCTCCCCCCTCCCACTAGTAACCCCCAAACACACACACCCACAGTATTTTATAGTAATAGTTTTCATTATTAATATTCAAGTTAATGTTCAAAAGGTTTTCTCAACGTATGCCCACTGTGGATGTGCTTTACTTTGGTCTGTTCAACCCCTTCCATTACTCTCCCTTACCCCTTTACCTCCCACCCCCCATTTTTCAACAGCTTTCAATACATGTCCTTATATCCTCTACATTCACATCTTATGTTATGCAATTTTACTAATGCTCTATCATTCTCTTTTCCTTTCCCTCTTTCCCTGAGTTCCCTAGAGTAGTTCCACTGTTACAAAATATGTTCTACATCTGAGTGTGTATATGGTCATGCTTGTTTTGTGCATATGTTTATCTTTGAATCTGTCTTCCATGTATGAGAGAAAACATGCAGCTTTTGTGTTTCTGATCCTGACTTACTTTGGTTGACATGATGTCCTCCAATTACATCCATTTACCTTCAAACCACATATCATTATTCCTTGTGGCTGAGTAATATTCCATTGTAAAAATATACCACAATTTTTTAATCCACTCATCAGTTGTAGGGGACTGGGGTTGTTTCCAAAACTTGGCTATTGCGAATAGTGCTGCAATGAACATCGGTGTACAGTTGTCTCTACTGTATCCTGTCTTACGTTCCTTTGGGTAGATTCCCAGGAGCAGTATCACTGTATTACATGGCAGATCTATCTTTAGATTTTGAGAAATCTCCATACTGCTTTCCATAGTGGTTATACTAATTTGCATTCCCACAAGCAGTGTATAAGTGTTCCTGTTTCATCACATCCTCGCCAGCATCTGTCATTGTTATTACCCTTGATTATGACCATCCTAACTGGGCTGAGAAGAAATCTCAGTGTTATTTGGATTTGCATCTCTTTTATAACCAGGGAAGTTGGACACTTCTTCATGTATTTACTGCCCATTTGTATCTCTTCCTTTGAGAATCCCCTATTTAACTCATGTGCCCATTTCTTCACTGGGGTGTTGATTCTTTGTGGGCTGAGTTTCTTGAGTTCCCTGTAAATTCTGGATATTAGTCCCTTATTGGATGAGTATCTAGCAAAGATATTCTTCCATTCTGTCCATTGTCTCTTGAGTCTGGTGACTATTTCCTTTGCTGTACAGAATCTCTTTAATTTGATGCAGTCTCATTTGTTCATTGTTTCTCTTAGATGCTGAGCCTTTTGAGTTCCTACCACTGTATTTCCTACCATTTCCTGGAGTTGTTTCAAAGTTTCAGGCCTTAAATGAAGGTCTTTGATCCACTTTGAGTTGATTTTGGTACGGGGTAAAAGACGGGATCTAGTTTCAGTTTTCTACATGTGGATATCCAGTTTTCCCAGCATTTATTGAAGAGGCTGTCTTCTCTTCATTGTGTGTTTTGGGCTCCTTTGTTGAAGATTAGTTGGGTATAGATGCATGGGATTATGTCTGGATCTTCTGTCTGATCTACTGGTCCTCCTGTCTGTTTTAGTGCTGGGTTTTTTGGTTTTTTTTTTTTTTTTTGAGATCTATAACATATTTTTACCTAAGTTTTATAGCCATTTCTTCCTTTTTTTCCTTCTAAAATAAATATGACCCGTATATCAGACTTAATGGTTCAAAACTAATCCAGAAAATTTTAGAGGATTACAATCATTTACACAAGCTCATTTTTATCAAATCAGAAAGGATTAACCTATGACTTCTACATTCTAAGAATTACCAAATCCTACTTTTAGCATTTTTCTTTTGACTCAAAGGTGATTCCTATTCATGTCTACCTCTCTCACGTGTTAAAAAATCAACACATTGAGATGTATCACTCATCCATAGCTTCTCAAGATGAGTCCCTGGACATTGTCAATCTCACAATTCTTCTAATCCTCCAACAATCTTAGATACAGAGAATTTAAAAATTATTTTACATAATTTTTAAATATTATGAATTTTTTTATAAAATTAAAGTTGAACTTAGATGGCATGGTTATTCAAAGAACACTTCTTCAAAAATAAAACAAAAACATGAAGGGGCCCAGTATATAAAGTGAATAAAAGTAGAGTAGCTTAGCCTGCCAAGGAGCAGTAGCCTCATGGTTCCACCTACTCAGTGGCTTTACACATTTCCACAAGTGCCATAGACTGTGCAGAGCTAGCTAGAAACAGAGATTCAGATAATTATTTTCTTATAATATTGAGTGATTGCTGTAATAGGTGAGCAGATAAATAAAGTTCAATGCAAGACATAAAAGAACAGAATCTTAAGAAAAGAAAGGATAAAATAAAGCAAACTGTATATGCAGTACACAGTTAACAAATTACAAGATGGAGTATTGTAGATGAAAAAGAATTTAATTCTGCAGTTTTATTTATGGAGAAGATTCTTGAAAGAAAATACAAGTTTTTGATGACTTCAAGATCTAAAGATACACTGTGTATTCTTGGTGAAATATAATTAAAAGAACCCCTCAACCCAGAAAACATCTCCAACAGATTGAAAAGGCAGAAAGAAATCTACCTTTTGGAGGGGGTGGGGGGAAGGGGGAGAAATGACCCAAACATTGTATGCACATGTGAATAAAAGAAATTTAAAAAAAAAGAAATCTACCCTTTTATATAGTCAAAGAGGTATAACTCATTGTGTACATGTTCTCAAACTAAACAGTAAGGAGTCCTTCAGTAAGAGTACTTGACAACACCATTTGGAGTGTTAATTGGCTTTATACAAAATGAAACTTTTCATATCTGTACCACAGGAAGTAGTTTTGCAAGTTGGAGCAAGGCTTCTACCAAATTTAGGCTCATCTCCTCCCATAGAAATTGGGAAATAAGGTGCTACATTCATTGATGTTCACATTTCAAAGAGAGTTCTATGTCTTTGAGAAGGGTATTCTGGATCACAAAGCTGACAAAAGTCCTATCTAGTTTTCTGAAGTTTTTTTCCTCAAAGAGAGCAAAAAGTTCTTATAATGACAAGTCTTCTCAAGTAAATCTCAAGTAACACAACTGAGGTAGAAGTCTCTTCCCTTTTTAACAAGGAGAATCAAGTCTCTGAATTTTTAGTTTTTATTTGTTCTTATAACTGATTTAAATAGTATTCATCTTGCATGACTTTCTCCATTTATCCTTTATTTATCCCAAATCATTTTCAGAACAAAACTTTAATGTTTATGAGAAGTATTTAAGTAACAATAGAGAATGGTGTTTAATCCAAATAAACTCCCTCCCCATAATATTCCTTACTGCATTCCCTACTGACAATTACAACCATACACTGTGTCTCCTAACCATTTTCTTAGGGTTTTTTAATGCCAAAATTATTTAAACAAATTTCTACAGCCATAGTTTTTTCAAGTAATATCTTTTAAAAATTATTGTTAAACATTTTTATTAGCATATATTAGTAGTACATTGTGACATTTCCATATGTGCTTACGATGTATAGAATATCAAATTCCTAAGCTCAACTTGGAGAATGTAGAGAAAATCACTTACAAAATAAGTGACATGCTACACTCCTACTTAAAACTTAGTACCTCATTGATTTTTGTCCAAAAACCTTAGCATTAGTTTTAATGCCCTTCCTCATCTGTGCCTTTTTCTTCATCCCTGGCTTCTTTTTTGAATATCCTCCATTGAGAATATACTTAAGCCATATCTAAATTAGCTGCAGTTCCCTGAATCTTACAACACTGTGTCTTTCCCCTTAGCCATCTTATATGCTACCACCTAGGTCTAGAATGCTAGGAACATTCACTTTATCTGGAGTTTTACTCCCACTCAGTCCTCAAGACTCAATACAACTAACATCCTTTGGAAGACTTCCCTATTTCCTTTCTCTTTCACCTATAAAAACCACTTGAGATCTCTGTCCTAGGTATTCCCATTCCACTGTCTTGTATCCCTACATTATCACACTTAATTGTATGTGATCACTTGTTGGCTCAACTGTAAAGGAAGCTCATTGAGGGCAGAGACCTTTTTTCTCTAGATTTTTAGTGGTTATATCATAATATTTCTTGGCAAATCAAAAAGTATTTATTACAAATGTGTTTAGGTGAGTGAATGAATGGATGGATTTAGATAACTCCATATAACTTATAAGCAAATAATCTGGTTAGTATGCTTTGAGTGACAGAAGACATGCGTAAAACAAAAGAATTAAAAATAACATATTTGAAAAAGTATATTGGTTTTTAAAGTGATTGTATTAACAGTAACTTCGACTCTCAAATTAAAATGTAAACTTATTATTCTTCACAATATACTGTCCTGGTTTATTTGAAATGTATTAAATTCTTTAGCTTATAGAACTTGGGGTATTTAAATACTCAATGTTTCTGAATATTGTCACTCACTGGTCTCACTTTATTTCCTGTGACTCTCCTCAGCTGATTTCTATTATTTTTTTCAGGAAAAAATGCTATTATACTGACCAGAGGAACAAATCAATGAGCAGGTCGGTGGGTGATGCATAATTTCTTTAAGACCAATGTGTCACTTGGAAAAATATAAAACAAAACAGTTGATTTCCCATGTCAGCAGTTGTAAATTTCAGGGAGAAAATTCTAATAATTTGTTGAAACAGTTTCCAAAGTGACTTGTGACAAATTGAATAATGTTTAAATCAGATCATTTCTTTGAGACTGTTTATGATTGACATTGTCAGAATTCTCCATGTTATAATTTTATGAAAGGAGAATTTTAATTGCTAGTTAGCATCCGAAAAGATTTTAATTTTAAAAATCATTATAAAATGAGAATCAATGGATAAATGATGACCCACTAGAGTAACAGAACAATAGACCTAGCAAAGACCATCTGTATCACTCAATCCAATACTCTTATTTGACAGAAATGGTAAAGACTAACATCCAAAGCCATGCAGTGGTTTACCAAGGACATGCAACATCTTTTGCATGCAGATCCACTCTTACTCTAACACCCTAAGCTTCCTCTCTTCTTCTATTTTAAAAATGAACTTCTTTTTAAGAGTTTCATCATAAAACATCAACTGTGTACCTATTGTGGTAAGAAAAGCTATGGAAAAAAAGAATTAAACCACAACCCTGAGATAGAAGAAATTCTTCCACCTTGGCTGCCTTAGCACTGTGTAACTGAAAGAGATGAGTTTCCATTCAATCGATGTCCAAACAAAAGACTTTATACACATGACTGTCATCCTGCTTATTACAAAAGAATCACCAGAGACAAAGCACAGGAATATGGCAGAGTGTGATGCAATGAATACTGCTGTAGGATATTACAAATCAGATTGACACAAAAACTAGAAAAGCCATGTAGTGTGAAGAGACCGTTTTAGGAAAAGATTCAATAAATCATTTCCTATACCAAAGAATATAACGTCAAATGTTATAAGTCGTAAGAGGAGAATATTGATCTATTTTTTTGAATATTAAATATAACTCTGGTAGGACTTGATGATGAGAAAAGTAAACCATAGAGAAAAAATTTGAAATTGGAATGAATATTAAATAAATTATTATTAAAATGACTTTAAAAATTAATGATGCTCTCAACCAGGTCAAATATTTCTGTCAGGTTAAGGTTCTGATTTAGAATGAAATTTTCTTCACTTCCTTTGTGGGTATTTGGTCCCTAAGTCATTTTTAATATTAAAATCAGTCATTGGAATATTATAATATATAAATTTACAACTGCAGATTGCCCCGCATGCCTGTTCAATGTTGGATGGATGACAAAATATCTGTTTCTACCCCTGTAAAGTGCTGCCATACACCTGATGAGACTTTGTAACTACTTAGTTAGTAGGTTTTTTGTTGAGTAGGCATCTTTCCTTCAGATATTTGCACAAGAGTAAAATACTATATATTAAAATCTCAGCAGAAGTTTATTTGCACAAAAGCATTTTACTTCAGTTTTAAAGGTAACTTGTATTTAGAATGCTTGATAAATATTTGTATGTAACAACATTTATAATAGCAGAAATATGGTCTTTTTTTCTAGTTTGGTTAACCTTACAAGTAAACTAGAAAAATGAGCACTATATCATATATTTCAATATGTTTTATCTTTTATGTTTATTATTTTCTGGTTAGCTTCATGAAATTGAAATTTACTTATTAGTCATTCCAAGTTATTATCAATGTATCTTGAACCTTATTATAACCTATCCCTTTGTATTTTACTTATTACAAATATTTTTATTTGTTTCTTGGCTTTCTGAATACAAACGAGGGGAGACAGGAAATAAATAGTAAAAAGAGTTCATAAAATACGACATATTAAAGTGAAAAAAATACCATTGTGTTTGCCTAAATTTATTCATTAACTTAAGGAAATGACTGATTCTGACTGGGTGGGGAAGAAAACTTAAGTGGAGTGAGTATGACGTATGCACGTATGTGCGGGACTAATGTGTGATGATAGTTGATATAAAATTGTAATGCTTGAACTGTAACAACTTCACAAAGTAAAAATTTAAATCAATTTAAATCAAATGTGCCCATTTTTTTTTTTCATGTATGCTTTTCCTTTCTTGAAGTGGGAAAGATGTTTTGTGCATGGTGAATTTTGGCACAAATTTTGGAGGGGATAAATAATGTATAGGCAATTGTCCTGTTTTTGAAGATCATCATTTCTCTGGGCAGGTTTAGAGGAAATAACTACAGTTTTATTATGGCAGCAATTTATTTTACTTACAAAGCATTTTCACATTCAAATATTAAAGAATCTTCAAAACAACCTGCAAGAAAGGCAGAAAAAAAAAAGTAGCTAGTTTTGCAGATTAGGGGAAATAAATGACTCCCTTACCATCACTTCTCATGCTCCCTGCTCCAGTTTTCACATCTAGTTTGGCAGCTTAAGTTTTAACCAAGTTCTTTTGATCCTTTAATCCAAACTTATTTTCAATTTCAATGGAATTCTCTTAGCTTTCCCCTGATTTTTAACACAGGACTCTAAGGCTCCATTAGAAGTCGTCTTCACATTATACACAAAATCTTGAGTTTAAAGAAGGTCAGCATGCCCAACATCTACTGATATATAGATAATGTATTAGATGATTGCTTGAGGCAGTACAAATAGTAGTAGAAATATCTCCTTTCATGATTATTGTCATAAGTATTTATTGAGTGCACGCCATATGCAGTGCACTGTAGAATCAGTCATTGTCCATTTAATACTCAAAATATTCTTTCACTTAGAAGATGGGAAAACTAAGTGAGACTCAAAGAAATTATTAAGGTAGATTATGGTATCTTGGTATTCAAATCCTGTTAATATTTCCCCATTAAGTGGCATTGACCTCTTCACAGGAAATACGGGTGAAATGCTTAATATTATTTATTTTCTGTTACCAACATAATTGATGACCTGATAGTCCTTTGAGTAAATTTCTTACAAAAAATTTTTTTTAATTCACCTCATTTCTAGGTTGCTTGTAATTTCATCAGAGATGGAGGTCATCGGGGGCTATAGTATATCAACATTTGCAATGCCTCCTTTCATTTGACTCTCCTGGTCATTTAATAAAGACAAAAGATAGAAGTACTTCCTCTTTTCAGAACTGAGGAAACTGAAGCTCAAAGACTGGTGATGATAGTTCAGTATCAGGACATCCATCTGATTCTACTGCTACATTCCTTTCTTTAGCTGCGTTTAAAAAGCTAGTCATTGGTATATAATCTAGCTAATGCTTCCTCCATGTCAGTGCACTGGCTTCTGGGACATGGTGATTTTTTTTTTTATTTTAGAGACTTTCTTTATAATGAAAACCAGCAAAATGACTGCCTCCAAAACTGCTTATTTCTTATTGTAGGCCGAAAAGGAATATTGTAGTATTTCCAAAACTAAAAATGCTTTCACAGCTACATGATAATCGTACTTGACAAAAGATTTTTTTGAATCCTAAATTTCACAGCAGGATTTGATTTTGACTTCAAATTTTACATGACAATCTTACCATAATAAACTCAAATGAAATAATTCTTAAGATTTGGTATTTAAGGCCTGCTCATTGCTGTTTCAATTTTTTTTTTTTTTTTTGAAGTTCAAGCAGAATTATCCAAATACTGAGATGTGTTTTACTTGTCTGGGGACATATTCTGTGTCTCTCTATTTGACTTAACTATTGCAGAAGATGCCAAAACTTGGCCAATAGAACATGATAAGTAGTATGTAAATATCGTATGATTTCCTTTTAGTGAACACAGCTGTTATAATAGTAACTTAGAATAAAATGATAGTAATTTGGAATCAAATTTTCAGAAGAAATCACTATATACAATGAGTGTGTCAGGGGGCTGGAGGAGTGGCTCAAGTGGTAGAATGCCTGTCTCGCAAGCATGAGGCCCTGAGTTCAACCATGTATTTCTTTTCAGTCTCCACTTGTGTAGAGCTACATGGCTGGTTTCTTTTTTTAAAACATTCAGGGAATAATCTGTATTAACACAGATAGAGATATATGCATACGTATATACACAGCTTCAATAAATACATCACACTACTTTTTAAAAATACGCTTCCCTACAGCCTTCTTTATGTATGGTAATACTTAAATGTATTTCACGGTATTGTTTGGTTTGTTTGTTTGTTTGTTTTTCCAATCAGGATAACAGGGATTGCCCTGAAAGAGTTTAAACAAGTGTAGAACTTGGTTTGTGTGAGAACAAAAGGAATGCACATGTGTGGTTGGGTGCGTGTAGGTGTCTGTCTTGTCTTTTTGGACTTCTTTCTTTAGTACTTAAAGGTCCTGTCAAGAGAAATTGGAATGGCTCTGAAATGTGACCTAATCTACTTCTAAAATGAGACTTTGTTCCAGGGTACAAAATTATTTCAAAAGAATCAAAAAGTGGATGTCGCAAAACCCAATGGTTCTTGACAAGTCAGCTTTTCCAGAACTAGAGGAGTCAGACTGCTACACCGGACCTTTCAGCAGAGCACGAATTCACCAGTGAGTTACGATCTCTTCTCCTATCATCTGCCTTTGCACCTTTCATTACCTGGAACTTGTTTGTAGAATAAAAAATACTTGTGACCATTTCCATTGTTCACCAAGTAGGCCAGAGAATGTGTCACTGTATTAAAATGTATGATTAACTCAGGAACAGTTCTCAGTGAACATTATTGGTTCTTTATTAATTTTATGATTTAGAGACATTCAAGTGACAAATAATTACTAAAGTAGAAAATCACTCAGTTAAAATAACATAATGATGATAATGGAGTTAGTATTAATAATACATTATCCAAATTGATACATTATTTAAACCATGGTTGCATTTAATTAACATATTTATTAAACTATTCTGGCTTAATCTTATTAAACTAGGGTAAGTGAGAATATGTTCAGGTAATATTGGACACCTCTCTCTCTCTCTATCTATATATTTGTCTCTTTCTCTGCCTGTCTACTGCCAACATATCTCTTTATTTACCCATTTATTCATTCAAATAATATTTATTGAGTTTTTCCACGTCAAGGGTTGAGGATACAATGGAGGATTAGGACATTTCTTCTGCCTTCTGCTTCCATAGTGCTCCTAGTCAAGTAAGCAAACAAATATGCAAATTTAGGATTAAATAAAATAAACATGAGGATGGAGAAATTTGCAATGTAATATAGAACAAAAACTGTAGAGCTCACTTATACCACTCTAGTATTAACCTGTATTCTGGGATATGGGAAGTTAAGAAAAGGATGGAACAGAATCCCAGACCATCAAATGTGTAGGAACCAGTGGGAAACTATCCCCTTCCAAACAGCCTATTTATTCCATTACTTATTCTTAGAGGTGGATCTAGAAGCATCCTTTCCAATTCCATCTCTAGAGAGGGTGGGGAATGGGTACAAATTCAAATGCCAGCTGAGATTAGGGAGAAGTCACAGTTCGTGAGAGCTCCTTCAGCTTTCTGCTCTATTTTTAAAGGACCTCTAGAGATCTGTAGTCCAACAAATAAAAAGTATACTCTTTCTCTGAAAACCCAAGGAACCAGCTTGATATTTGAAAAACATCAAGCAGATCATGCAATATCTTATATTACATATTGCTTATATTCCCCAACAGCCTCCCATTACTACTTATAATACAATACAGTTTTTAATAATCTTCTGTAGAGGGGCAAATTCCTTAGTTCCTGTCCAACATTCTCACTTCGTATTCTACATTTTCCCCACCATTTACTTACTCCAACCATACAAACCTTGATTCTACAGATCATTTGATCAAATGCAGTCCCAACTTTTTATTCTTGCTGTTCTCTTTCCCTGGCATACTCTGCTCCCACATCTCTGCATGGCATTTTCCTTCTTACTATTCTGCTCCCACTCCAACATCACCACCCCAAAAGGAAACTACTTCTCTATGCCATTGTGCTGTTTCATTTTTCTTCCTAGAAATTATATGGAATTTTATTACTTATTTGCTTGCCTGTATCATATTTCTTCATAATGTAACTGCATGAAAAAAAGAAACTAATCTGTTTAAGAAATACTTGTTCAGAAATACCAAACTGTGTCTTATGGTGAAAGAGCAATCAGAACGATGGGCAATCCTTCTGCTGCCTACACATTGGTGCATTTGAATATAGAAATAACACACATAATATTAGATACTGAGTAACTCGGTGTCAATAAAATTGACAGATGTATAGATTAAAATAACATTGCATAAAATCAATTGTGAGTAAAGATATAATGCAAATTTGATTTAAAAAAAGAGTGGGCCACATTCAATGGAGAGTATCCGGGAAGACTTTTTGAAGGAAATAGCCCTTTTTGCAGGTAAAAATATGGAGGGAGGTAGAGAAAGGGGAGGCACAGATATTAAAGACAGAGCAAAATCCAGAGAAAAAGAAGCAGGGGAATTTAAGGTGATGGTGACTTATACAATTTGACAGATAATCAGACAAAAGAAGCCAGAGCTCTAAGAAATAAGACTTGGGGAATTCATTAGAGTGCAAATATATAGAAAGACTTGGAGGAAAATAAGAAGTTTAATTATGCTCCTAATGGAGAGTTGCTGACATCCTAAAAGTAGAATAGTGCTGTGAAGAGTAGAGCTGAGTTTTAAAAGGCCAATGGAAAACTGAATGGTAAATTAGGAAGACACTTTTCTGGCAATCTAGGCAAGAGGCAGTGACTTTGAGGACAAAAGCGATAGTGCCTGAGCTGGAGAAAGGTTGCACAGGTAGTCAAGTGACTTAGTTAGGCAACTGCTTGAATACAGAAGATGAAGAGGAAGTGAGGATCATAGAAGTCTTTATACTTCAGCACTAGGTGTCTGCAAATAGTGGCTTATCATTCACAGGGATAAAGCTCCTGGAAACAGGAAGTGTCAGAACTTAAATGAGATCCAGCTCACTCCACTTATGGTGGCTCCCACTGTATTATAAGTTGAATGCTAAAATAGACCCCTCCTGTTGCTTTGAAATCACCCTTTTGCCCTTTGTGTTGCTAGCACTCATATGGCCCCTCCTTACTACTTTCAAACACAAGGAAAATATAGGACATCAAAGGAAAGGAAGACGATTGCTTATTGCTAAGCTCTGAAAACAAGATAAGCTAGACTAGAAGGTGTGTCATGGGAATGATATCAATTTTTAATGCATTATGGCTTGAGGTACACAAAATTAATGTGATCTTTTCTCTTCCTGCTCCATGCTAAATAAGAAATATGAGAACACCTATAATTCCTTTATAAACTGAAAGAAGATATGAACATGAATATCTGATAATTTCCTGCATTTTCTATGCATGTCAACTAATTTTTTTCTCTGTCAACTGATTTTTTTTTTCAAAGAGAGTAATTTCTGTTCTGACTTTGTATACTTCACATGCATTATGTTTAATGGAAGAAACAAATGGACAATTACCTGGGATCGTGTCACTGTGCTGGGATTTCATGCTCTGTTCTAAGTATTAAAATCATTCCCCTCATCTTCACAGCTTTATAATAAACAATAAGGACACCTTCTTTAGCAATGCTACTCGAAGCAGGATAGTCTATCATATGCTGGAACGCACCAAATACGAAAACGGGATATCAAAAGTGGGTAAGAACATTATTGAGTAGCATAGAGAAAGCAGATACTAATTATACCAGGAATTGTTGCTTTTTAACACTGCAAGTTTTGCCTTCATTTTCATTAAATGACATTGAACCTAACTTCTATGAAGACTTTATTTTGCTGCCTTTCAAAAAGAAAAGTTTTTTGGAGGGTATTTGGCCAAATGTATCAATGTATGAAATGTGTAAATACTTTAGAATAGAAATTTTATTTCTTGAAATTTATTTCAAACCAACAATCAAATTTTGAATGACAAGATGCATAGAAAGTGGTTAATCATGCCTTCTTAATAGAATAAGATTAGAACCACCAAAAATTTCCATCACTGAGGACTGACAAATAAGTTAGGTCACATCCATAAAATATGTCCATTAAAATCTATGTTATATTTATTCACTCTTCATTTAACATAAACATACAGGGCAGTTATATGTATCTAGGTATATATTAGCCATGTGCTATGTGTTACACAAAGTATATGAGTGGATTCTCTACTCACGGGGATTAAAATTAGCTATTAGTTCTCTATTTATTGACTTTGCTGGATATCAACAATGCATTGAGTGAAAGAAAGCAGAATACAAAACTGTAAGTCTAATGCAATTCCCTTTCTGAAATACACATATATCAAAAGATGGGAAAGCCTAGAAAAATGTAAGAAACCTCTTACAGATTATCTTTGGGATGTAAAATGACAGCTACTTTTACCTTTCTAAATTTCTGTGTTGTTTGCTACAACATGTGTAATACCAAAGAAAATTGAGAACATCTCACCTAAAAAAATAAATAAAATTGTGAAGTTTGCATAGGGCTAAGAACAAAACAACAGGCAACAAACAAACTGGCCATTTAATTGCAAGGTTGAAACTAAAACATTGAAGACCTCAAATGTTAGTCAAATGTCCCAAAGTCCTTGAAATAAAAAAGTTGACAGTCATTGGAAACTTGTACCAACATTAAAATGGAATGCCACAGTAATAATATGAATTCATATGTTTCAACTGGACCACTTTTAAAAAGGACCTTCAAATTCTGATTCTCTTCTGATTAATAATTCATTTATGACTGAATAGTCAAAACAGTTACATTACCCAAAAAATTAAACATAGTCCAAAGTTTTCTAAAGAAATAAAAATAAACTGGGTGTGATGACTCCTGTCTGTAATATCCACTAATAAGAAGCAGAGAAAACAGGATCAAGGTTTAAGGCCAGTCCAGGCAAAAAGTTAGTGAGACCCTTATCTCAAAGAACAAGCTAAACAAAGCGATACATGCTTATAATCCCAAGAATAAAGAGACTGAGTTTGGAGGACTGAGGTCTGAGGCTGTCCCTGGGCAAAAGCACATTATCTGAAAAATAACTAAAGCCAAAGGACTGGGGACATGGCTAAGGAGGAGATCACTTGCCTAGTAAGTGTAAGGCCTGAATTCAAACCTCAATACCACCAAAAATATTAAAAATAAAACAAAAATAAATCCATAATATGAACTGAAATTATTTCTACATGATTGCACCTGTGCTTATATGCACTTAAAAAAATAAATAGAACAGTGGGGTGTGGTAATATATGTCCATTATCCCAGCTACTCAGGTGACTGAGGTAGGAGAATCACAAGCTCAGAGTCCTTGTGTTTGAGATGTGAAATTATTTCTAATTTTTTATTAATGTAAATAATGTTGCAACAAAAGTTCTATTCCAGAAAGGCTTTGTGAAGGCTTTTTTTCATGAGGACTGCGTCCAAGTATTCTCTTTACTGAGATGGAGATTTGCACTATCCTGTATTGCTATTTATGGCCCTTTGGCTTAGTATAAATAACTAAAGACTTTGCAATTCAATAACCTCCTGAGATGTTCTGGGGAAGTATAGGATTCTTCATCCTTGACCAAGTGCTACTGTTTTCAGAGTAAAAAATAATGTTGTTCCTTACCCAAATAGGTAGGCATTAAAATGCTCAGTCTCATGATACAATACAGCAAATCAAGCCATGTGTTGGCATCCTACAAAGGACACAGCAGCACTGAATCTCAATCCCTTCACAATCTCAGTGTCTGCATAGGTGATATGGCAATAAAAGTCCTTTGAGTTATTTTAAAATTTTCAATTAATCCCTGTCCCAAATGTGTGTATATTCTTCAAAGGGAATTTTTCATTGAAAAGATTCAAATGTTTTCAGTTTTATTTTCTTGTTCTCTTTCCAGGTATCCGTAAACTTATTAACAACGGCTCCTATATTGCAGCATTTCCCCCACATGAGGTAAACTTGAAAGACAATTTCCATTTCTTTCTTTGATTTTTTGTTTTTCCCCTTTCTTCCTCTGTCCTCTTCTCTCTTCTCCCCTCCTCTCGCTTTTGCCTTCCCCATTCCCTTCTCCTTTCTCTGTCTCTCTGTCTCTCTCTGTCTCTCTCTCTCTCTCTCTCTCTCTCTCTGTCTCTCTCTCTCTCTGTCTCTCTCTGTCTCTCTCTGTCATTTTTTGGCAGTACTGGGGTTTGGACTCAGCACTTCATGCTTGTGATGCAAGCATCTACCAGTCTACCAGTCCTCTCTACTTCAGTTGTTTTTCAGATAAGGTCTCTTGCTTTTCCCCTGGGCTAGCTCCTACATCTGCCTCCTACAAAGCTGAAATTTCAGACACACACCACCATGTTCAGCTTGTTCTGTGAGATAGAATTTCACTAACTTTTTGCCTGGGCTGGCCTCAAACAGTGATCATCCTATCTTTGCTTCCCAAGCAGCTGGGATTACAGACACAAGCTAACATGCCTAACCTAGGAACATTTCCACTTAAAAAAAGAAAAATACTTTCATGCTCAATGATTGATCCCATTTTTTTTTTTTAATTTGAGCCTGGGTTCCCACATGCAGGACATATCAGTCAGCAAGTGGCCCTGAAACTAAGACCCTATTATAATCTTATGGCTGCTCACTGGCTCTTGAGTTCCAGAACCCTTCTCAGTTTGCCCCCCATGAAGAATCTCCCGTCAGTGAGAGATGCTTGTGAAACAGGTATTAGATATTCTGACTGCAGCCCTCTGCATAGAAAGTGCATGCTTGCTCCAATTTAGGATTCACCATCACTCCAAACAGTCAGGTCCTTGGTTTGTGGCTACTTATTTAGGATAAAATTGAAAACAAATCCACAAGGCAAACTTGGAGTGCATTATCTACTTGATTCCTGGCCAGATTTTTACCTCCCTGCCAGTTTCAAATAGAAATGCCTGCTCCAAATTGTGGAGTACCATGAGTGACATTTGAATTTGTCTTAACTTCTTCTTGTCTCCCCTCTATCCCTTGACATCTTTCTTAAGCGGATTTCACATTTTAACATAAAAATGAGGTCTTTTAGAGGTTTCACTTATGAACATTCAAAGCACTCACTCTCCTATTCATAAAGTTAAGACCAAGCACTCACAGAATATAATGTATTAAAATGTGGAGTCCTGCATAACCAATTATGGAAAAAATATATTAAAAATTTCCTATTTTTCAATGAACTCAATTGTTTTATATGGATGATTTTGTTTGATCCTTGAAACAACCTTTTAAGAAAGACAATATTGACTCCATTTTGTAAAGAGGCAATTGAGGTACAGAAAGGTTAAGCTTCAAAGGCAATGTTTTGAACCCAGGAAGCCAACATCCAATGGTTACACTATTTATAGAATATCTACTTATAGTAAGAACCAGAATAGCAACAGCAGGCAATATGTTTGTACATTTCAAGCACTGAACCCTCTGGGTGAGTTTTCCCTTTAGTCTAACAATAACAAGGAAAAGGTAATACTTATGTTTCCCATGTTAGATAAACAAACCTCAGAGAAATTAAATACCATTTCAAATACCACATGGTCAGTCAATAGTGAAGTGTTTTCAAATAGCAAATCTAAGACCCCAAGAGAGTTTTTTCTTTTTTTAGAAATAGAAGGTTTGTTTTAGCATACAAACAATTTGTTAAATGCTTCAAGTTTTGAAATATTTTACCTGTAGTTTTTAAAACATGACTAACATTAGAGGCTAAGGTCTCATACTTTTTAAATGAACACATACTCTCTTCCCTAACATTTAGAAAACTTTTCTATAACTAGGTCATTTCTTAAAGTAGAATAATAATTTTAATTACTTAACCAAAGATTACAATAATTTCTGTCATTGATAGTGAAGATACTCTTTTTATTAAAACACCTTAAGTTCCAAATAGTGAAACTTAAAAATTAATTTACTTTAAGTGAAATGAACCCCAATTTTTAAAAAAACAATTAAATAATGATTTTTTATTTACTTTTATTAGCATATAATTGTAAGGAACTGCTGAACAAAGACCATGCCACATGTAGAAAAGAATTTGTTAGAAGCACAGACTGATGGGCTGACTCTCAGGTCCAGAGTGCAGCAGCTCAGCTGGAATGGGTGGTGGGCTTTATAGGAGGGGCCATTCATCAAAGGAGATAGGGTTTCTGTTTCAGAGAACAACTAGGTTGTTGGGCCCTGATTGTCAGTGATCACCAGGTGGAATGGCTCAGTACATACAGCTAGTTGAAAAACAGGAAGTTTTCTGCAGTTTTGCAAGCAGGGAGATTTTGAAGCAGTTATGGGCAGGGGACCTGGTTTCAATGATAGCCTCAGGACTTTCTGCCTACCATATGGACGTCAGGGACCTAACATTCTAGCTTTTTGTTGGTAATATGGGTGCTGATTGATCTGGCTGCTTTCTGCTGAATGGGGGCATTGGGGAGGTTCTGGCTGGAATGTATGAGATCCCCGGGGACTAGAGGTGGGCAGTTTTCCTTAGGCCTCATTTGAAAATAAGGCCAGTTGTTGGTAGGCTGGAGAGGGTTGTAGTAGCATCTGGTGAAAATTCTGTCTGCTGAGCTCCCCTAGGTGATCCTAGAGGCATCTAAAAAGGCAAGGGATGATAAGGAGTAGGGAGAAAATGGCTGTCAAAGGTCACAACTGACAGTGCACACCTTTGATATATCAAAGATAAGGAAAATAGAAGATTGGCATCCCTTAGTTGAACAGAAGGTGGAGTTAAGCAGAGAATGTAGGTAAGCAGGAGTATTCTAAGGGCATGCCATCAGGAAGCAAGGTGGCAGGATTAAGGGGAGGGCAAGTCTGCAGGGTAACATCTGGATTTTCTATAAAAGTGAGGTGGAAAAGCTGTAATGTTGAAGGAGACAGGTTGGAGAGACAGCGGTGGGACAGGAGGTCAGTCATTCGGTGGGGGGACAGGACAGTGGTGGATTTCCCAAAAGTGAGTTTGGAGAATTCCTGAGTTAATAGAGCTGCTGCAGCCAAAGCAGACAGGCAAGGTTGCCAGCCCTTGATGACAGGGTCAAGCTGTTTGGATAAGTAGGCTACAGGAGCGAAGGTAAGACCCTTCATTTTTCCTAGAACTCCTAATGGCATTCCTCCCCTCTCAATGACATATAGCTTGAAAGGGTCATCTAGGTTTGGGAGAGAGAGAGAGCAGGGGCCTGGAAGAGGGCTTTTTGAAGTTTAAGAAAGGGAGTTTGATAGGTTCAGTTAGAGGGCCCCTTGCAGCTTCATAAAGGGGCTGGGCCAAGAGGGCAAAATTAGGAATCCTCTGGCCCTGAGGTAACCAGCCAGACCTGGGAAGGGAAGGGTGAAGGGGGATGATAAAGAAAGCATCCTTAAGATTGAGGACAGAAAAATAAGAGGTATCTGAAGGGATATGGGATAATAATGTATGTGGGTTGGGTACTACAGGATGAGTGGGAAGCACAGCCGAGTTAACAACTCTCAGGTCCTGAACCAATTTGTATGAGCCATCAGGTTTTAAGGCAGGTAGGATGGGGGTGTTACATGGGGAGTGGGTGGGCTTAAGAATCTCTTTGTCTAAGAGTTTGTCAATGAGGGGTTTTAGTCCCCACCTATGCTTCAGGGAGATGAGATATTGTGGCCTGTTTGGGTGAGTCTTAGGGTCTTTTAGATAGATTTTAATTGGTGGATGGTGGGAAACGACAGATGGAGAGAAGATATCCCAGACTGTTGGATTTACTATATTAGGAGAGATAGGGAGAGAGTTTGGAGCTGACAAGGGATGGCAATTTGTAAGTACCATTAGAAAAAGGACATGGGACTGGTCTTGAGTAGTGGGTGAGGTTGTAAAGGAGAAGGTGAAATGACGTTTGGAGAGAAGATCCCTTCCCAAAAATGGGGTGGGACAAGAGGGTAGGATAAGGAATGAATGTGTAAAGGGGACACCTGATAAGTAACAAAAGAGTGGACTAATAGTTTTTGGCTGGTAGAGGAGACTGTCCACCCCCACCACAGAGATCTGTGAAGGATAAAGCTTACCCAAAAAAGTCAGGTAGCACCAAGTAGGTGATTGAGGCCTACCTGCTACTTGGATGGTTACCCTGGGCTCCTCCAAGGTGATCTTGAAGGGGGCTGAGGTCCCAGGTCTGTGTCAGTCTTCTGCCACCAGGCCCAAGAGGTCCGTGAGGCCTTTAGTCTAGTAGGAATGGGGATGGGAGACTGACCTACATTGTGGAGGCAAAGAGGAGCAGTTGGCCCTCCAGTGTCCATTCTGGCCACATTGTGGACAGGGTCCTGGTGGCAGGCAAGGTGAAGGGCAGTTTTTTGCCCAGTTTTCCATCTGATTGCATTTGAAGAAGGCCCATGGAGGCATGCATTGTCCGGCCCTTTTTGAAGATGGTGGAGGTGACCTCAGGGCAGCCACCAAGAGCTGGGCCTTAAGGTGGTCTCGAGCCTCCTCTCAGTTGTTAAATAACTTAAATGCCATTTTCACAAGATCTCCTTGGGGGATTTGAGGACCATCCTCTGCCTGTTTAAGTATTTTTTCGAATATCAGGAGAGAATTGGGAAATAAAATGGGAGTTGAGAATAAGTATTCCTGCCCTTGAGGACAGATCAAGCTTCATACAGCGGGTTAGGTTTTTTGTCGGGTGTCTCAAAAAGTCAGCGGGGTTTTCAGTTGGACGCTGGATAACTTCTCTAAGCTTATCAAAATTAACTCTCCTGTGGGAATCAGATTGTAGCCCTGCAAGGAGGCAGCTGAGCATATAATTTTGGGCAGCCAGCATGGAGGGATCTTGATAGTCCCAATGTGGGTCCTCATGCAACACTGCCGTGGATCCCACCAGAAGAGTGAGATCAGTGCAGTGGACGTCATCGGCATGTGCCTTTCTGCCAAGCAAACTCTTTCCTTTTCATCTGAAGTTAAAGTGGAGGAAAGAATAACATATATATCATGCCATGTCATATCATATGCTTAGGTATTTGAATTCTTTAATATAAGAGGCTGAGTCATTAGAAAAGCCAAGTCTGTTTTCAATTTGAGAAAGGTCAGTCATGGAAAAGGGCACATGGACTCTGATAAAGCTGTCAGCTCCTACCACCTCCCAGAGTGGATATAGATGAACTGGGCATGCTTGGGAGGAGGTATGGGAGCAGGTATGGGATGCAGATGGGGAGGAGAAGGGTGAAGGTGTAGCAGGGGCTGAGGGTAATGGTGGTGGTGTTTGTGCCTGAGGGGCCAATGGCTCAGGGTCAATAGTGACTACTGTGGAAGAGGAATATGGTGGCAGATGTTTAGAAGAGTCAGCAGGAGTTGAAGAAGGGGGGTCTGAGTCATGGGAGGATGGGGTGGGAGAAGAGATTGGTGTAGAGGCCTGGTGGGAAGAGGAGTTGGGAGGCCGGCAGACAAAGCCTGTGAGGTCACAAGTAAGGTAAGAATCTTCAGGAGATGAGTTAGGAAGATTTTTAAATCTTGAAGGGGGGTTTGTCGCTGGCAAGGAGGATTTGAACAGTATTAGAAGGTTGGAGCAGGGAGGATCAAGAGAGGAGAGAGAGAAAAGCTTGGACATACGGAATTTCGGACCACTTGCCATTGCAGGGCAGAAATTGTCAAGATCTATAAGTGTGTGAAAATAAAAAGTACCATTTTCAGGCCATTGAGATTGATTGTCTAGCTTGTACTGAGGCCAAACAGTGTTGCAGTAATAAATTAGTTGTTTAGGTTTTATATCTTGTTGGAGACCAAGGTTCCCGAGGGAGCAGAGAAGGCATCCCAAAGGCATGGACATGTCTAATTTAGAGTGTGTGGTCCCCATGGTGTGGCCAGGAAAGAGAAAGGAGAGAGAGAGTTAAGGTTTTAAGAAGAAGAAAAAAAAAGCTCATGCAGCATTGGCAGGCCAGTACAAACCCCAGGCCAAGTGCCCAAGTTTCCTCAGGTTGTCTGCCTTACAGCTGTAGTGGGCTTGGAGCTTTTCCTCAGGTTCCCAAGGGAGAAACAAGGTGAGAGAGAGAGACAGAGAGATAGAGAGAGAGAGAAGAAGGGGGAAGTGTTACCCAAACAGGTTCCCAAGGGTGAGTGTCCCTGGCCTGGGTCACCATCCACAGAGATGCCCAACTGGTTAGCCAGGCATCCCCATGCTAAGTGGAGGGGTGCCCCAGTGGGTGTAGCTGGCATACCTGGTGTAGCGCTATGACTTCCGAGACAGAGAGAGAACAGGCAGCTCCAAGAATGGTGACACTTACCGAGTCTGAGGTAAGTCATGTGGAGGGCAGAGGGAGAGAGGCTAATGGTGGATGGGAGAGCTGGCAAGGCAGTAAGGTCCAAGATCCACAGTCCATAGGCACATGGGTCAATTCAGCAGTCTGGGTCTGGGAGAGGGCAGGACACAAGGGGCAGGAATTGACCCCAAGTGAGAGTGTCTTGTTAGCCTCAGACCATGCCAAGTATAGAAAAGAATTTATTGGAAGCACAGACTGCTGAGCTGACTCTCAGGTTCAGAGTGTAGCAGCTCAGCTGGAATGGGTAGTGGGCTTTATAGGAGGGGCCATCCATCAAAGGAGGGAGGGTTTCTGTTTCAGAGAACAACTGAGTTGTTGGGCCCTGATTGTCAGTGATCACCAGGTAGAATGTCTTGGTACACACAGCTAGTTGAAAAACAGGAAGTCTTCTGCAGTTTTGCAAGCAGGTAGATTTTGCAAGCAGTTTTGGGCCAAGGGACCTGGTTTCAATGATAGCCTCAGGACTTTCTTCCTGCCCTATGGATGTCAGGGACCTAACAATAATAATTGTACAGGGGGATACACAGTGATATTTACATGTGTGCTTACAATATATCACCCCTCCATCATTCTCCCTCACCCCTCCCTTAAAACAATTTCAATAGATAAGACATAATTCTTAAGGAGCTATAAAAAATTTCAGTAACAGAAACATCTACCACATCATTCAGTGCTGGGTTTAAGTTTACAATCTCTGAAGCATTCAGAAGGTTACTAAGTTATTCCATAAGGGAAGAAATAGTTATTTGTTCAAGTTTTAGTAAAAGAGTGGGTACCAATTTATGTCATGTTATGTGTCTCAGGGAGCCTACAAAAGCAGCCTGCCCATCAAAACCCATGGACCTCAGAATAACAGGCATCTGTTGTATGAACGCTGGGCACGCTGGGGAATGTGGTACAAGCATCAGCCTCTGGATTTAATCAGGTACTACAATTGCACTGTTAATGGAGAGCAAATTGTGCTTTTTTATTCTCATTTTAGTATACTGGGAATTATTATTTCTTATACCTACCATGTTATCTATGTCAGCGAGAATACGTCTGAAAAGAAAGGAAACCACAATATGATTGTTTGATGTAAGGAACTTAATGCAGAAAATAGGTTGCACAGGGGACAGAAGAACTGAGATATCATACAAGGCTTTTGATTGTATATGAACTGAGATATCATACAAGGCAGTTGATTAACAACTGCCAAATGTACAAAATCCCCTAAGGATGGAAGAAAAACTGCATTCAATGTATTACAACAGTCCAGTGGCTGGGACACAGCATCAGTTGCACACCCTTGGGAAACACCAAGAAGAGGAAAAATATTATGGATTATCCGTTCCTTCTACTGCCAAGTCTTCCAGTACATCTTAGCCCACCTTAACTGTTAATATTTTACAAGGGAACTGAATAATCTACTACCCTATGAAAAAACAAAGCAAAGAGCAAAAAAATGGACCTGAGAAAGGAAAATGATATACAGCATTTATGTATAAATGGTCATCTATTAGTATTCACAGAGAACTGGACTCATCAGGACCCCTCTTCAGACATCAAATTACATGGATATTCAAGTACTTTATATAAAATGGAATGGTATCTGCATATAACCTATGTTCATCCTTACATATATTTTAAACTGTCTCTAGATTATTTACACTTAATATAATATTAATATCATGTACATAGTTGTTATACTGTATTATTTAGGGAATAATGGTAAGCAAAAATATCTGTATATGCTCAGTACAGACACAATTATACAGTCCTAAATACATTTTTTTATCTAAGTTGGTTTATTCTGTGGATGTAAAACCCAAGAATAGACAAAACTGACTATTATTCATATTATCTACTCCATTCCAGGAAGTATATTCCAGTGAGTAACTGATTTCAACTGGAATTAATCTTAAAACAGATACATCATGATTCTATTTATTGCTGTCTCATAAAACCATATTTACTAGGAATTAAGAAAATTATTTTTAAGCAATATTTCAGTATCAATAACTATAGAACACATTGCTGTAGCTGCTTAGGGTAATTTCAGCAAGCATCCCACATTTTCAATAGTGTTATCCAACTGCTACTACTACTAATTCTTTGCTAACAAAGAAGGGTAATTTGTCTTAGAAAAATCATATATTTGTCTCTCAGTTGCTAAGGGGAGTGTGTCATGAAAACCTACCCAAGAATTCTGTAAAACAGTATAGATGTTGCTGTGATCTAGGAATTTAGCTGCTACCAAAATTGAGATGGTGGTGGGGAAAAATGTCATGCATAGGATTTGTACAAGGTTTAGTTTTATACAATCAGAAAGATGGTTTGTCTGTAACTGTGCAATTTTTGGAATTAAGTTGTTTTTAAAACACATAATTCTGAGGGCATGACTCTTTTTTGTGTTGCTTCCAACAAAATACACAAACACACACATACAGATACACACGCACACAAACACTCACTTTGATCATGGATGTTAGAGACTCAGAGCATTATCATGGTTGGAAAGAAAGCTCCTTAGCAGTGGATGGAAACTAACAGGCCATCAATTCATTTTATTTTTTTAATAAACAATTATTTCTAGAGAGTTGTTTGCATTATTTTCCAATTTTAAAAATGGATTCAAACATTTCATAACCAAATCTATCTATTTTCAATCTATTTTTATAGAAAATTATTTGAAACTAAAATAGTACATTTTAAGCATTCATCAGCTACAAAACCTACTTAAAAAACATTGTTATTTGAAAAAAAATTTACAACAGAAAACAGAGTTTAAATTTAAGAACAAAGTTGTTGAATTAAGAGATTAGTTCTAAAACAATAGATTTCATTATTTGTTTATTTTATAATAGAAGTTTTTTCAACAGCAGAAGAGATCATCAAATGAAATGTTATGTGAGATGTTACTTTGTAAAAGAGATAAAGACAGAGTAGCAATAATTGAAGTATGGTGAGAAGTTATGGCAATGGTACGCTCTCTTCCTCCTTTGCTCTGTTGTGGTTTTGTTATACCTTCCAGAAACAATTAGACATCACAGGATATTGTGAATATAGTACTCTAGGTAAGGGACATTTCATCAATCTTTCTTTGTCTACAGCTAGGTTCTCCAGCTCCTAAAACAGATTTGAAATCTGTCTTTTACTGAGGTGTTATATAATATCTAATAATATTGTGCCTCTTCTTAACCTTCAACAATGTGTGATTAAATTCTCAGTATAATTCTGTCTGAGCAGTTTGGTCTCTGCAGTCCTCGGTCATCACTTTTATAAAAATATTCCATTGTTTGTAAATGTTCTAAAATCCCTGCTCCACCCCACTGAGGAACACTCGTTTAAGGAAAAAGTGGCTTTATTTTTGCAATACCTGTTAATATAATACGCTTCAGTTTCAAGTAGAAACTTATCATTGTATAAGAAATAAATATACCATTGAGTGATGTTGCCTGGGTGAAATAAATAAAAGGAAAAAGTTGGATAAACTTGCTTAATGATGGGTGACTTTAAGTCTAAGCCTGATGAAAATAGTATAAAATTTAACTGACACAATACAGAGAATGAAGTACAAAGCAAATAGTTTCTAGGAAAAGAATCTTTATAAAGAAAAAAAGACAAAACAACTTTCTTCCCAGCAATAATCACTGTTCAGTTCAATATTCCCTAATGAACTTTGACATACTATTCTTTAAATCAAGAGCTGGAGAAAAACATTGTGTGTGAAGTAACCATGTTTAGAAGATGAAGACCTAACAGAAGTAGAGAAGTCAGCAAACTTATGTTGTTTTTACCAGACCTTTATAAACTACATTACCATTCAAATTGGCGGTAGGCTAAGGTAAAGAAAGAACAAGTGGTGTTTTTCTAATTTACGCAAAAACTGATATGGGTTAGCACAGGTCTGTGATATAAAGACTAAAAAGGATGCTGCTAAGAAGATGGAGGAAGGAAACAATTGGGGTATAAAAAGCCTATGAGCCATATTAAGAAATTTGGAAAATAAATAGATACAGTTAACAAAAGTAAGCATCATCACCAGTATAATATACATTAACGAGCAGGAATATCAGATACCCCAGATGGAGTTGAAGAGGAACTGGGCTGGAAGCCTGTTCCATATGAAATTCTCAATTGTTGTGGTATCAATGTTTTTCTTGCTTTAACTCAAGGTAAAGATTTGCTTTCTTACACAGGCTGTACTTTGGTGAGAAGATTGGGCTGTACTTTGCTTGGCTGGGGTGGTATACTGGAATGCTGATTCCCGCAGCAGTTGTTGGCCTGTGTGTTTTCTTCTATGGATTAGTTACAATGAATGAAAGTCAAGTAAGGTAAGTTATTAAGAGACTTATTGCAAAGGTTTGGTCTGTCTTTTTTCTTTCATGGTACTAGGGTTTGAACTCATCAACTTTTCTTCTAAGTGGGGAAAGCTGAAGTATCATGCAAAAAAAGTATTAAAATTTAATTCATTTCCTGTTTTTGATGTTTTAAATAGGAAAGAAAAAAGTTCATTTTGATACTTTTATATGAAAATTCTTTTAAATAAGTTCCATGACTATTTATCTTTGTACTAAATTTTTCTTTCCAGTATATGAAACATAACCTAAAAATAGTAGCAAGAATTTGACAAAAGTCAAATATGTCAGAAGGGTAATTCTTTTGTTAAAACTAGAGTGACTCAAGATTAGAAAAAAGAACAAATTATTCCTAGAAATAATGCATTATTATTCCGTAGAGATAAGTCTCCCTAAGGTAAAATGAATCTTAGTAGATGTATTCTTTAATAAAATTACAAATATTTCACCAAGTTCAATTTGTGCGATCAAATTCAAAACATAAAGAAGCACCTTCCCCACGTCCACATTTTTCTTTAAGCTCAGTACTTTCTTTTCCTTAGGTCCATCTTTTAACCATGTGCTTGTACTGGCAGTACCATGACTCCATGACAGCTAATTCTAATGTGAAATATTTCTTCTTCTTTTTTTCTTTTTGCTGGTGCAAGGGATTTTCTTTTCCTTTTTTTTCTTTCTTTCTTTTTTATTGTTGTGCTCGGGGTACATTGTGGCATTTACGAAAGTTCTTATTTTGTATATTGGATATCTCCAATATATCATAGTTGAATTCACCCCCTCCATCATTCTCCTTTATCCCCCTTCCCTCATACCTGGAATAGTTTCAACAGGTATCATTTTTCCATTTACATACGTGTGTACACAGTATTTGTACTATTTTCACCTTCCCATGCTCTTTCCCCACTTCTTTCCCCCTCCCACTGGAACCAACTGCCCACCCCAGGCACTCCTATTCTCCAATTTTGTAAAAGAAAAAAAATTGACATTTTTGTTTAAGTTAGCCATACAGGGAGTTTCCTTGTGACATTTTCATGTATATATGTATTATAACTCAAATTGGTTCATCTCCTCTATTTTTCTTTTTCTACCTTAGTCCCCTTCCTATAGTGATTTCAATAGGTTTAAAAATTCTATATTCATTCTTGTATAGGAAGTACAGCAACCATACTTTACTCTCTTAGGTAATATGAGAATCTTAAAGCTACTTTCCCTGAATTTCATATATATATATATGAAACAAAGTATCTTCATTGAGTTGAGTCCTATTCAATAACCAAGTTCCTTGATTTGATATCTCAGAGTCATCTTGTTCTTCATAATGCCAAGTAAGAATTAGCATGAAAACAAAGAAACACCTGCTGCTCATAAGGATTTCATCTAGTCAAAAGTTTGCTTCAGAGTTTTTCAGACTTGCACTCTGGAAGGCAGTATGTTCCTGGACAAACTTCTGCCCACTCTAGATATCCCTCTATGCTGTTGAGTCAGTAATCTCAGAAGCTCAGAGGACAGGTAGTAATTTGGAGTTACTGTGTCTTGAAAAGAAAAGCACTCTTTTTTGATTAATTAACAAATGTGGAAAATAACTCTGATAACTACTGCTCAAGGTGGTTCCCAGGAAAACATATTAACAAAGTCTTACCATGAACTATACACTCCTCCCTCCACACCTACAAAGTTGAAAATGAACAAAAGGGAATAGATTTACTGTTCTTATTGATTTATTGTACCAGTGGAGTAAATTAGGCTCTCTTGTATGAAATAACTATTCTTTAACCTTTAGTACAGAAGTGTATTTAAAAGGCATTAGCAAACTCTTTTCTTTAGTCCTTTATGGTATTATATTACTGCTACCGCTGTCACACTATAATTAAGATCCTGTCAGACTTTCTATTCTAAACCAAGATAAGCAGCACTGAATATCTTGACTTTCAAAATTTGGGGACTGAAATTTTCCATTCAAGGTGTCAGACATGGTTGAGTCGTAGGTGTTATTTTGGTGGGGGGTGGGCAGGAGACTGGGTTTTATTTTGCAGTGATTCATATTAGGCTTTTTTATTAAGTTCCTTTTTGTTTACTGCAAGGTAGTGAAATGTTAAAAAGCTGGAGATGTGGTTCTGCTTATTTTGTTTGCATAGGATATAGCCAACTAAATTGCAATCTTATTTTTCAATTGCCCTAATTAATTATTGGAGTACATAAAAGTCAAGTTTCAGATTATTGAATGGATGCAAACATGCACGTAAGTACATGTATGCAGTGGTCCTATGTAGCCAAATGTGATTATATCTATGCATTGGAGAGAACATATCACAGGCTTTAACAATTAATAAGCAATACATCTGCCCTGATTCTCATGGCGCTGGTTTCAAAACCCATTCAAAGAGCAAAACCTAGTTTTCTGGCCCATTCTTGCCTCTTTGACATCAGAACTCACCCAGAAATGTGTGCAATCCTCAGCATTAACCAGATTTACAAAGCTGTTGCTTCTTAGAGAACCTCCAAGTCCTCTCCTATTTCTCTCCTTAGATATTATAGTATCTTCCATTTGTCAGGTGCCAGTAGTGTGCCAGGTAGAATATCCCAGTTACTATTCTCATCTACAGACAAATAAATTCTTCAAAAAAGTAAGTAATTTACCCAGGAGACTATATCTATTAAGGGATCAACTAAATTTCAAACCTATATCTGATTCTTTTTTTGTGAAAAAATGTCAGAACATTTAACAATAGATGTATTCTGTCAATAAAATTTTACATACACAACACAGTTTAGGTGCAATGTAACTGAGAACTCTGGAACTCATTTATCTTATACAAGTAAAATTTTATACTGATTGAGCACCAATTCTCTGATCCTCTTTTTCCCACAGTTCCTACAAATCACGAATGTACTCTCTTTAGTTGTATGAGTTTGACTATTTTAGATACAGCATAAAAGTGGAATATACAGTATTTGCCTTTCTACAAATGGCTATTTCATTAAATATAATGTACTCCAGGTTTATCTATGTTGTTGTATAGGGTAGAAGTTCTTTCTTCTTTAAGGCTATATAATACTGAATCATACATATATGCTATGTTTTCTTTATCAATTCATCAGTCAATAGAAATTTGGGTTTCTGTATCTTTGGAATTTTTAATAAAATTTCAGTGAACAGAGCACAGCTCTTCAAAATCCTAATTTTATTTATTTTGGAAATATATTTAGAAAGATTACTAGGTCAGTAGGTAGTTCTGGGTATTTTTTATACTTTTTGAGGACTTTACACACTCTTTTTCCATAGCAGTACAACATTTGGAATTCTTACAATATGCAAAGTTTTTAATTTCTCTACATCCTCATCAATGCTTCTTTTCTGTGTTATTTTTAAAATATAACACAAAATGTAGTCTGGAGTGTAGCTTAGTGGTAGAACACTTGTAATTAATTAACACATGATTAAAGCACCAGGTTTAATCCCCAGCACTCCCAAAGTAATAAAACATAATACTAATCCTAATATGCATGGAAACTCTTTTTTCTGGGGTTCTCATTGTGGTTTTGATTTGCATTTTCCTTATGATTATATCTGATTTTAAAACCAATGTTTTAGACATAATGTTATATTGCTTTTCCTTTGTACTTACTTTTCTGCTATTCTCCACAAATGTATATCACCAAGCAGGAATTTCCTGTTCTATGTTTTGTCATGTTAGCTCAGTCCCTAGAAACACTGGGACCCTGGAATGAAGGGTCCAAACATCCATCCCCACTAGACATTTTGCTCCTTTCTTTAAATGGTAGTAATTGTTAGTCTTTCCAATCATCGTTTGATATGCATATCTTGCATAGACAGAAAACAAAAAAAAAATTCACAACTAGAGTGGAAGTTTAGATTATCATACTCTTCAAATAAATTAAGAAACTTCGTGATGGAACATCTACCCCCCTCTAGTGGTTAAGTGAAGTCAAAGAAACTTGTGATACTCAAATTATTATAGGCTGGGAAATTATGCTGTCAAAAATAATTAATACTTTTATGCTATGTGTTTAATAAAGCTTTGAACAACAAACAGAAAGGGAATTTAATGATTATGCCAGGGGAAACAGGACCCAGTCTAATTGCTGGGATTTGAGTCTTATTACTTTGATAAATCCATGGTCCTGTTTGACCATTTGGAATGTGAGAAGGTAGTAAAGATGGTGTAATGTAAACAACTCTAATGCCTTTTCTGTAGGAGCCTTGAGGGCTGGACAAATTGTGGCATTAGTAAAATATAATGAATTAGGATAGTAAACCTACTTACTTAAAGTAAGTAAACTTACTTTAAACTTTTCTTTTTCAAGAACTGTGCTAATTTTTCTTGTCTCTAAGAATTAGTAGTATTGCTAAGAGGCAATGTAATCTTTTCTTCCTTTTAGGTTTTAAATTGCATGTTTTACTTGTTTCCTCCTACCTTACTAGCAAGATGAGGATGAGAGTGTAGTATATAAGACACATTATCATCATTTATCAATTATTGTTGATAGAAAAATTCCTTTTAAATATGAAATTACTGTATTGTTCTTTGAGACATGCTATGGTTGATGCAGAGCTAGATCTATAATCAGAAAATCCTAAGCTTATATCCCTAAAGTACCTCTTGCTAGCTCTTGAGCAAGTCACTTAAATAAAACATTTGTTTCCTCTGCTTAATAAATTGCCATTATCTGGTCTTTGGATGAAGACTAAGCAATTTAATGAGCATGAGTCTATCTCTGCCCTCTGTAAACCACTGTGTGTAAATCATCCTTATGTGTATCACTGCTTACTATGTATTCTCATTTTGACTTGAGGTTATAACCATCTCACACTTAAAATACACATGCAGGGTTTTTTTGTTTGAGCATAGACATTTTTTAAAAACAGGAAATCTTGCTGTAAACATTACCAATTAAATTTGTATCAATAGTTGTATTTCCAGACATAGTTTCTAAAGCCTTTCTTTTCAACATTTCCAGAGTAGATTTATTTAAAGAAAATTTACTACGAGACACAAAGTGGGAAAAGGCTACCTATGGCAGATAAAGGCACAAAACATCTAAAGAATAGATTGTTGTGAGCTCTGAGTATACAAGGCTTTTCAGAAATTGCTGTTGATTCCCTATTCTTGTCATGAAGCCATCTATGATGTATGCTGAGATTTTCAAGGGTCAGTGGCCACAAAATGGAAGAGATAAATGTCATAAAATTTTATCCTCATTGGAAATATACTTAAGAAAAAAAAACTATGTCATCATGACCGTGTGTGTCAAGGCACCACACATACAAAATAACCCCTTCAATTCCCAGAAAACTTTGTGCACCAATGTTATGTCCTGCAGTGTGGGTCGTAAATTGTATGATCACTAGACCTGAGAGGTCAGAATAGTCAGGTTTGAGTCCAGCTCAGCCCCTTCCAAATCTGTGTACTTGGTTAAATCTTCTTTGGTTGCCAGATGTAGTGAATACTCCTACAATTCCAATCTTGAGGAGGCTAAGGCAGGAAGATCATGAGTTTGAGGCCAGTCTACACTACATAATGAAACCCTGTCTCAAACAAAACAACCAAACTCATCAACAAGCAAAACACTTCATTGATATACCTCACAAAATTATTCTGAGTGCTCTGGGATCATAGGGAAAAGTATCTTTATAAACAAACAAATGGAAGCCCAAGTGTCACACCAAGTAAAATACAACCTATTATCATTATAATATCTTGACAGAGTTTTCTAAAATCAAAGAGACAAACAAAACCCTGTGTCACAAATACTGAATACTGAAGGTAAGCCATAGTGTAAAGACTGTCCATACTGCTCACCATTCCCCACTATTTCTGTTCTTCCCTTTCCCTCCATGCCTTGCTCCTTCCATCAGGGTTTGCTCCAGGGGCTAAGAGAATTTTCTAGAGACAGAAGTTCATGGTGTTTTGTTTTGCCTTGCTTTGTTTCTTTCATTTCTCAAGCCAAGAAATTTGTAAAGCAACAGAAGTCTTCATGTGCCCTCTGTGTGACAAGAACTGCTCACTGCAAAGACTCAATGACAGCTGCATCTATGCCAAGGTGAGTGTAGACCTTCATATTCTCCTCCTGAGCTCCGATTTATCTCATAATCAAGCATTAAGAAATTCTCCACTAAATGTCTTTTTATCAAAATTTAATGATCCCCAAAATTTCAACAATCATTAGGGTCACTGACAACTGAAAAAATATCAGTTTGCTGAAATTGCAAAGACAGTATATGTTTATTTTAATATCTTTGTCTCCTTTGTTCTTATAACTGACAGTTACCATTAGAGACACAAACTTCCATTTGAAATTCTATCTAGATTCTTTCCATGAGAAAAATATTTTCATTACCAATGACTAAATTCTATCTTCCATGAAAACTCAGGAGGTTAAAATACTTCTAATTGTACAGAGAAAATAAAATAGTAGGCCAAAAACTCCCAAATTGCTACTTGTTAAAATCACCGGAGGGTTTTTAAAACTTGAAGGTCAGACCACACCCAAGAGCAAACAACTCAAAATCTTTGGGTATAGATATCAGGATATTCTAAAATTTCCCACTTGATCTCAATGTACATGCAAATTAAAGAAGCACTGACTTTTACAATGACAATTTTTTATTTGTAACATACTTTTATTGAAGTAAAATTAACTTATAGTAAAATATATGCTTTTGAAGTATATAAATTGACACATTTGTTATATGTTCTGGTGAAATCATCAACACAGTAAAGATAATGAACATATCTGACCTCCAATAGTTTCCGTTCATCCTCTTATAATCCCTGCCTCTCACCCCTCTCTAAACATCTGTGCTCAGGAGGCCAAATGTTTTCTGTCATTACAGATAAGTCTGTATTTTCTGGACTCACATGTATATGAAGTCATATGTCATGTAATATTTCTGAGCATTTCTCTTTAGTGCTGAGTATTATGTCTATATCAGAGTTTGTTTATTCAAACAATCTATTGAGATGTTTCAAATCATTGACTATTTTAAGTAAAGCATCTGTAAAACATTCATCTATAGGTTGTCCCAAGCAAATACTAACATTTCTCTTGTGTAAATATCTAGGAGTGGAATAGCTAGATCATGTGATAGGTATATGGTTAACCTTTGTGTTAGACTATTTTCTGTTAATATGATGAACTATCTGAAGCAGCCTACTTTATGAAGAGGCTTATTTTAGCTAATGGTTCTGGAGGTACAAGGTTGAAGGACCTTATGTAGTGATGGCCTTGTTACTGTCAGAATCCTGAAATGGTGCAAAGAAGCATCACTTATCAGGAGAAAAATAAGGCATGTCCATGTGTGTTTGTGTCTGGCTGGTCACTGTCCCAGAATTCAATCATAAAGGCTCCATTTCAGTGACCTTATCTAATTCTAATCACTTCCAAAAAGCCCTATTGCTAGCCAACGTAGTCAAATTAAATTTCTACCCTCTTAAGACTTCATAATACTTCATAATAAAAATTAAGTTTCCACACAATTGGAAATTTTGTGTCCAAACCACAGCAAACATTTTAAAACTGCCAATCAAAACTTTTCCAAAGTAAGGGCTACTTGGGCGATGGAGATCAGGAGGATCACAGATCAAGGCCAACTCAGGCAAAAAGTTCGCAAAACCCCATCTCAGCCAATGGCTGGGCTCAGTGGTGCACACTTGTCATTCCAGCTACACAGAAAACATAAAAAGGAAGATCACAGTCCAGGTTGGTCTGGGCAAAAATGCAAGACTCTATTATAAAAACAATAAAGTAAAGAAAAAGAAAAAAAGGACTGAGGGCATGGTTCGCGTGCTAGAATATCTGACTAGCGAGCATAAGGCCTTGTCTCACACCCCCAAATACCACCAAAAAAATTAAAAATAATTAGCTGACTTTTCCAAAGTGGTTTACCATTTCCATATAGTCAGTGAGCCTCAATATGGTAAAGCTACTTTCAAACATAATGATTTTATTAGATGTCCATCTCATTGTGGCTTAGTGACTTGTAAATCATTTGATTAGATGAGATGGGCTTGCTTTTAAAGTATTTGAGTTGAAACACAGCAGCGCTCTGTCTAGAACTAAATTTTCTCAAAAAAAAAAAAAAAAAAGCAAGATTTCTCTGTGTACTGTGTACTCTGCTAGTGTTCTGTGAATGATGAGGATTTCCAGTCTGGTTGACAGAAATAGTTGCTACTGAAATTCTCATACTTTCAGGAAATTTTTAACTTGGTCTCAGGTAACTCCCTCACACTCATGCACAGTGGGTGCTGGCTGGCTTGTCCCATTCTACATCTTTAGAACTCTTTTAGGGAAGTAACTTAAGCAGTAATAAGCCTCACCTTATTTGCTTTTTATGGGTCATTTTTGTTTCCTGATGTCCACGCTCTTAAAACCTGTTGCTTTACACATTTTGTGGATTTTTCCTTGCAACATAAGGGTATAATTGAGCCATCTTCCTTTAGCTTTTCTAGAAGTAGAGGTTTCTATACAATTAATTTTAACAAGGCTGGTTGTAAAACTAATAAACATTTCTAAACAAGACTAAAATTTAGTAAAATTAGCATCTAAAGGAGAAACGCTATTTGTTTATATTGTAATTTCTAAAATATGCTTATTTTTAAATTCTTTTAAATGTTCCAAAATGTTTTACATTTTGCAAAATCCCAGTGTATTAGAGTTATTGGATATATATACACATTTCCCTTGTTAGCTCATGAATTTCTAAAACATATGGTAGCCAGAGATACCAAAAACTCCAAATATATTTTATTTCTAGGTGAATTTTTTTTTTGACAAACCTAATACAGTGCATTATCATTATCTGAACATTAAGTGCAAAATCATCCATAAATGACAGAGTGAAAAAGTGATAAATCTGTGCAAAAACACACTAAATCTTGGGGGCTTTTGCAAATGTGCAGTAAATACACTATACTTTTCTGACTAGACAAAAGGATGCATAAAGACATGACTCAGAATTCTCTTAACTCTTACAAGGGAGGTGAAAAAGTTGGCTACCAGGAGAAAATATTACCTTATGCAACTATACAAGAAATAAAACCCACCTGGATAAAATATTTTATGTTTTGCACTTTCCTAGTTAAAATAAAATGTAGCTACTTGTTTTATACCATGAAAATTACAACTCTTGCTTCACTGGATGGAAAGAAACACTCTTTTTTATAGCCAACAGTCAAGGTTGACGTAGTCACATGGTCCTCTAGTTACATGATTTAGCAAGTCATCAGTTCAATTCCTTGTGAAACTCTTCACTACTTGTTACAAGCAATGGGAAATTAAACCTACCATACTGTTTTTGAAAAGTACATGTGTGTATATTTCCTTTATAATAGAGGATGTGTTTGCGTGGGGAAAAATGGTCCCATCATATGATGAAAATTATGTCAAAGTACATTACTATTTCCTTTAATGACTATTTTAATTTTTAATACTTAAAAGTATGAGTGTTAACAAATATTTTGCAGAGGCTGGGGATCAAGTGGTAGAGCATTTGTCTAGAATGTGTGAGGCCCTAGTTTAAACCCCAGGACCACAAAATATATTGCAATTTAATAATTTAGTGGGATTTTTACACTCATTTAAAAGTACTAACTACAGTATCAAATCTTAGGATGCTAGGATTTCTCATCAAGATGAAATAACTAGAAAGTACTAAAATTTTTATGTAAAAATGTCTCAACCCTTGAAATGAGTCCCATTTATAATCATTGTTTTCTAGATTTTTAACTTTTTTAATTTCTGCAGTAATTATTCAATACTTATTAGGAGGTTCAGACTGTACATTGATATTGAGACTGCAACAGATATAGGAGAGTGTTTTTTTCCTTAGGAAACTTCATAGAAGAGTCTGGGTAAGAGGACACATCAGAATCACATAGAACATTTGTTAAAAAGCAGATCCTGGGACTCACATTCTGAAAGTCAAAATTAATGGGTAAAGGATGAGACCTAGAAAGCTACAAATGAACAAGCTCCTTGAATGGCTTTGATTCTGAAGACCATGTTTTTAAAAGATATGTAAAGGAATGTACTAGTGAAATATCTAAGTTTGATGCAGCTTGCATCCAGGTGTACTAGATACAGACCATTATGCATTTTCTGTGCAAGAGTTAAGGACTAAGGCAGTAGGAAAGAGAGCTAATTCCAGTCCCTGCCCTTCACCCCTTCAATAATACCTTGGCCTATAAGGTTGGATTTGCACAGGAGCTACTTCTCTTTACTGTAATGGGGCTTAATGAGGTACAGGGGACAATTTCGAGACCTACTATCAAGCAATTTTAGAGGAACAGCCAATAGCTACACTAGAGGAGCACAGACTTTATGTCTCCAACCGCAAAAGAAATGATCTCCTTAAATAGTACCCACATTGATTGATTTCTAGCCACATTCAGCTTTCTAAGACAAACCAGCTGTCGAAGATAATCTCCAGAGAACCTGTGTTGTTTGAGCACAGTTTGCTTTTCCCTTTATACATTATCCCTTTTCACACCAGAAACACTAAATAAAATGTTCTTATATCACTACATTCATAAAAGCAAGCTATTTTTCTCACAAAATAATTCATTACAAATATGTTTTTAGATAAAAACAAGTCTCTTGTTTTTTTAGAAAATTTGTTTGCTGATTAGAGAATTTTCTCAAGATTTCACCTGGAGTTTTCCTTAATATAGTAAATGCTCTTGTTCTATTAGAAGGTCAATTCTCACTTTGAGGTAGGCTAAAATTAGGGAAACTTCAGGACTTATAGAAAAATATTATCTTAGATTAACCATGCTTTGGCTCAGGAACTGCCCTCACCTGGCTGGAACCACCCATGCCCCACCCCACTCATTGATTATTGGATGGGAATCACCTGGTTCCCCTTCCAATAGGTTACTGTAGGTTTTAAAACACCTGCAGAAGCCAGCTCTTTAGGCCTCCAGATTCCATTTGAGCCCCAATTCTGCTCCCGTTTGTATTTTCCTTCCCTAACCTTTATCAAACTCCATTTACACCCGTGTGTTAGTTATACCATGGATTCTTCCCATAGGACACAAAAAATTTGAAAGACTTCTGATCACAGACTACACTAGCATGGTTAACAGCTTTATTTGGACAACTACCTGTGATCTAAACTTCAGCCATCCACAGAGGGCTCAACTTCCCCTTTTCTCTTTTACTATTTTTAATTCAGCACCTTAAGTGAAGCCTGAGCAACTCAAGCTAAAATCACTTTTCTAATTGATCTCCAATATCATGACACATCCCATATTTAATAGATTAGCAAATCTAACAGGATGATTTTAAATTGTCATGCTTTTTCTTAGGGCAAGTTCCTAGCTCTCATTCTAGATTTTCTACCACTGTATGTATGTAGTCCCACATTATGTAAATATTACTTTTATATCAACTGAATAAAATGGATGTGTTTCTAAAAGGTTAATGTTTAAATTTATTGAGTTAAAAAAAAAATGCCTGAAAGTGTTGTGAGTGAACTTAGAAAGAAAAACACAATGAAAATTGATTTAAAGGAAAATGTTGTATAAACTATGAGAAATCATAGAAACTTTTTATTGTCACTTTTCTAAAAGCATGGTCATTTCCAAAACAGGGGACAGTCATTATTTCTTGATAACCTTTAAATCACCATATGTAAAGTCTCTGTTCTAATTCTGCTAGACCATTTCCTGTACTAAGGCCATTTCTAAAGGGAAACAGCTGTTGAACTGCTCAGAAGCCTCAGGTGTCTCTGTGGGATGTCTCAGGAAACAAAGAAACTGAATTCTCCTGCTGGGGATTCTCCTATAGACCTCTGTAGGAGAATTTCTTTATGATCTTTTCCTCTCCTGTGCATAGTGTATGCTGATGATTGCTCTGAAAACCAACTCATTTTAAAGAAATCTCAAGCCTCAATAATCAGAGAATTTTAGAACAATATAGCATATTTAATTCACAAACCTGTAAAAGAAACATGGCTTTTTTAGTGGTTTTTTTCTTTTTTAGGTGGTACTGGGATTTTGAACTCAGGGATTTACACTTGCTAAGCATGTGCTCTACCACTTGAACCATTCTGCCAGACCTTTTTATTACGTATTTTTCAAGATACAGTCTTGTGAACTATTTGCCCAGGCTGGCTTTGAACCGTGATCCTCCTCATCTCTACCTCCCAAGTAGCTGTGATTATAGGCGTGAGCCACTGGCTATGATAGTATTTTTAATAATTCAACATTATAGAAAAATACATCCAGTGCTTGCCAGTTTTACATATTGTTTTAGAGTGAGTTTCATGGGTTACAATTACAGTGTCCTTAGTATTATGTTAATACTTCCAGTGAGCACTCACTGGACGGTAAACTGAGCAAGAAGGAGGTCACTCTACTGCAACTTCCCTTAGAATGATGTCCTTTTGGCCTCACCCTCCTCTGAGAATAATACCCTTGCTCTCTCTACACAGCAGTTACTCCTTATCTGCAGTTTCACTTTCCATGGTTTCATTTGCCTGTGGGCAACTGCACTCTGAAATTATTAAATGAAAAATTCCAAAAATAAGCAGAAACTCCTAAGTTGTAAGTCATTGAGAATATCACGATGAAATGCTGTGTAGTCCCCTTCCCTCCTGTTTGGGCTGTGAATCATCCCTTTTACCCACATATCCCTGCAAGATGTACCCACTTAGCCGTCTCCGGTATCAAATCTACATTAGGAGTAGGCTCTCAGGCCTTGTGTTCATGTAACTCTTATATAAGTAGCCTAATGCTACCTAACAGTTCCTACAACATTCACCTCATTCCATCTGATCATATAGGCACTGTATCATCTCAGATCATCACATAAAGACTGAGTATAGCACACTAAGTTATTTTCAGGGAGAGACCACAGGAATACATATGGTTTGCAATACATTGTACTTCTATTTTATTATTAGCTGCTGTTGTTAATCTCTTACTGTGCCAAATTTATATATTAAACTTTATCATAGTGTGTATGTATAGGAAAGAATACAGGACTTGATATTATCTTCTTGATACTATCCTTGGAATATATCCTCCATTGATGGATGAGGGAGGGGTGTTATTGTAGTTTCTATGTTATTTGTATGCATGCAAAACATTTATGGCCTTGGTCTTATGAGTTTAACCTCACTCATTAATTTATAAATATACTGATAACATTATGCAAACAAAAATAAGCACAGGTAAAGTTAATTTTATGAAATGTGAATTTTATTGAAATCAAACAATCTTTTCAATCCTGAAAATTTTATTAAATAGCACTGCACAACTGTACATTGTTCATTATTAAGCTCCAGGTAAAAGCTGATTTAAAAAACACTTGTCCAGTGATTTGTGAGTGTTCTTAAAATAATTTCTTAACCTCTTTTAAGCCACTACTAGACCCATGGCACATTCTGAAAGACATGAGAGAGCAGGGAAAGTACTGTGATACCTTTCCATTGGCGGTGCCAACTCATTGGTAGATTTCTACATTTCCTCCATTCCTGAAAGTTTGGCTAAGGAAATGCAACAGATATGCATTAACTGAAAAGCTAAGTTCTTACATCTCATATTACAGTTTGACTGTCTGTGGACCCAAAATACTTCCTTAGGGTGCTCAAAATACTTCTAAACTGAAATGAATATGTAATACAAAAGAAATCAGAGGGCAAAGAGAAGGGGAAAAATTCTGTCATTCCCTCATCTCTTCCCATGAGATAATCCATAAAACAGTGGTAGGACCCATGAAGGGGTCACATGTGATATATTTACCAACTGTAAAATACTGTGATTTCATTTGAAGAAAAGATCATAGTACCTAATTGCAAACAGTAATCACTATATTATTACAATTTTTTGTATAATTAATTCTTTATTTTTTTTCTGTTAAGGTGACATATTGTTTGATAATGGAGGGACAGTCTTCTTTGCTATTTTTATGGCAATATGGGGTAAGTATATCCTTTCATTACTAATTTTCTAAGTCGTATTTTCTAAGACTGTTGTTATGTTTGTTCACTTACACACACATCATCATCATCTTCATGTATGAGCTCAACAATAAAGTCTCTAAGCTGGTACTTGCTTTGTTTGCTTTCATCATCCATCCATTGCTTATTTGGGAAAAGAATTTAGTCCTTGATCTACAACTCTAATTCCCAAGGTCTAGACTTTCCTGCACTAAGTAGTAGATTGTTCCTGTCAAAGGCAGAGGATAATTTAAAACAAACTGAAGCACACTAAAATCCACATTAACCTTCTTATATTATTACTAGTAAAAGTGGTGAGCAGAAAACTTTTGTTTTATAATGATTCCATTTGTCTTTTTTTAATCTCAGACCTCTAGAGATGCAAAACCTATTTCATACATGATTAAATAAACAATAATATATAATAACTTCTATTGCTATCTAATGAGTTCAAATCATACAAATTATGTATGAGTACATTCTTTGGTTGAGATTTTTCACCTTGTTTCTCATTGAATTTTTAAGACAGCCTATTAATTGAAATCTAATACACATTCAGACAAGTTAGAATTCCCCAAACTTTGAATACCTGGTTAGGGTCAGCTTTCTCTCATGGTCTTGTTGAATGCAGTCATTGTCAATTTAGCAACTCAAGGAGCTGGCTATGTATATGCTGATTCAGAAAACTGAAATATAGTAGAAGTCTCTGTTCCTTGATTTCTCTGGAACAGAAACCCAAGACCTTATTTCTTTTTCTAGCTTTAAGACAAAACTTTTTGTTGTAAATTTTCCCTCAAGAAAATACTGATCTTGTCTTGTGGTCCTGCAATTGCAGGTAGAGCAGTGCAGAGTCAACTCTATTGAATTTTGTTGGAAAAATACAGTTTGGGTTCCCACTTTTTTTTGAAGGAGTTTTATTATTAAATTATAAGGCAGTGATACCATAGTGATTCTTTTAGTTGTTTCCACAGAGATTCCTTATGAAGACAAAAATAACCCAAAATACAAATGGTGCCTGTGTAATAGTGCTTCAGCTCAGCCAAGAGCTGTCAGGAAAGAAAACTTGATGATTTATCCCCCGGGTTTCTGCATTCGTCTCAAGAGTTAGTAGTTCTGTTTGCACAGTCCATATGACAATGACTTTTGCATAACCTCTTGGAAGATGAGTTTGTTAAAAAAAAAAAAGAAGAAGAAGAAAAGGCCAGGATATACATGAACACTTGTGCTCTGAAGCGTTTCTTCTCTTAGTTTTATACAGTGGTAGGAAGTGGAGGTATGTCATCCATAGGAATGCCATCAAGTGCATTTTCTCTGCTTTCTGGCATGGATGAATCATTCACAGGTGGATTGTAGTAACTAGAATTCCCAAAACTCCCATCGTATGGTTCTGGTGTGTTGTCTAATCGCAGAACTGATAAGACAACAAAATAAACAGAATGGTTTTATAGTGACAGTCTGAAAGATGTATGCTTAGGCATCTAATTTTATGACCAGATTATAGGAATTGTTCTAGATGAATAATTAGGTATATTGTTTATGGGGGCTTTTCAGATGTAACTTTGAAATATTAAGTAAGTGGATATTTTTCAAGGCACATTTATGTCTTTGAATAAGACAACAGTTGTACTTCTAAAATTTCACTGCTAGTAGACCCAAAATAAACTAAGGAAGAGATCACAACAAAATTGTACCAGTACCTTAAATAAGGATATGTAAGCATATGGATCTTTGAGTTTTGAGTCTTACAGTTTCCAGAGCCTTGTGTGTATGTTTAGAATTTTAAAATTCTGCTATAAAAATTATTTTAAAATATTTGCCATTATTTTGTCAATTACCTCAATATCTTGGTGGTCAAACCATTTAAGGTACAGAAAGAAGAAAACTATTTGAAAGCTATGTTTCCTTCTGAGATACAAATTGTCATGTACTTAAGATTTTTCTGATTGAAAATGTAATTTTTTCCATTTCAATGGATAGCTATGCACTTCATTAATGATCTTGAATTCATTTTCAAAAAAATCTCCACGTACACTAGATATTTTAAATTATTACAAGCAGTCACTAACTTCTAGTTAGGTCAGTAATCTAATTATTCAGTTAGGTATCATCACATTCTTATCTACCATCCCTTAAACCATCTGTTTACAAACAAGGCCACCAGGAACTTTAGGTCTTTGGGAAAAGTGTCTCAAAGTTATCATGAAGAGGTAGCATGACTGAGTTACTCCTTTATGCATCAATCACAACTACTTAGAGTATACTAATTTGATAGGTTGAATTTTTGCATTACATATATAAGACAAGTTTCTTAGTTTAAAAAAAAATGTTTGGAAGTTATTGTTGTTAGAAGTCCTGTCCTTTCATATTGAAAAGTGTCTTTTTTTTGTTGTTTTACATGGATTAATAGAAGCGTATACACACAATGCTGTTAAACTTATAGTTAATAGGTTTGGTTTAAAATATAAGTAATGTATCAGTCACAAACTGGACATGTCAAAACTCAGTGAGACTTCTTCCATGGGACTCATCAGAAGCAGTTCACATTTGTTATAGTGGCAAAATTCCTTGTGCAAGCAAGAAAAAACAGATTTCCCCTGAAAATTAGAGATGAGTCAAGCATCTGAAGTGATTTCATTTCTGTTCTACTTGAAATTATTATAGATCAAACTCACTGTTTGATTTTTAGCATATGTGTTTCTCATTTGTAGATATTATGATTGGTGTTTTCCATTATATGAATGGAAAATTCCTGAGATAAAGTATATTTTGACTTTGTGTGGGTAAATACACAACTTCAGATCTCTCTTTCAGAGTCTCATTAAGATAGTTAATGAAGAGCAGGGCATGGGTGGCTTACTCCTGTAATCCTAGCTACTCAGGCAGTAGAGAGCAGGAGGATCACGGTTTGAAGCCAGCCCAGGCAAATAGTTTGTGAGATTCTATCTCTAAAAACCCTTCAAAAAAGGTTGTCGGGGAGGTAGGGCTAGTGGATTGGCTTAAGGTGAAGGCCCTGAGTTCAAGCCCCAGTACTGAAAAAAAAAAGATAGTTAATAAAGTTCTGCTATATTTGTACACACTTTAGAAGATTTCCACAAAGAATAAATCTTTGCTCAAATTATTGCTACTAAGAGATTACAATGGCAAAGAATGGCTTTGAAGTCACTTCTTAACAAAACTCATTTTTTCTTAATTTCATACCATTATATTCCAATTTTATGCATATGTTTGGATCCTGGAATTATGATTCAAAGCCAATTTTCATGCAATGCACAGCAGTTCCAAGTAGTTTTTAAATTTCACTCACAGTGAATTTTTCCTTTGAGAAACAGAGGTAGGTCAAAGTAAATCTTTAGTTTGTTTCTGTCACATGAATCCTTGAATCTCTTCCAGACAATGCATTTTCATTTAATTAAAACCACTCTGTCTAGGTGATGTTCTGAAAGTAGTTTTTACCTGGTTCATTTCTGTCCTCATAAAGTCGCTGATGGGAAAATGAATCTGTTTTCCTTTTTCCACACAACAAGTAGCCAACAAGACTAAGCAATGAAACGCCCAGAATAGCCCCTAATATGGCACCAAATACTATTCCTGCATTTCTATTCTCTAGGAGATAAAAAAAATACAAATACAAGTAAGTAATAGGAAATAATTATTCCAAACACAGAAGTAGATACATGTGGACTTTGATATGGCAAAGAATGTTTAATAATTTATTTTAAATTAGATAATGGTGACAAGTTTGGGTGTGAAAGTGATGCACATTTTATAAGGTACTCGGGATTTGTGATATATTAGCAAACTATGCTTCTTGATAAAAACCACACTAATGATTTTTGATTACATGGAAATACGTCTATGTCTTAGCTTTATAATTGACTTGTTACTTTTTAACATGAACAGTAATGAAATGCCATGTGAATTCTCCATTAAGATCTAATATCAGTGTTGAATGCAATATTCATTAAGTTTTTCATAAACCCTGAATTTGTTTGAATAAATGATTTTGAATTTATTTGTATAATTCAAGAGTAAAAAGTTATGAGTAAGCAAGTAATAGAAAATAACTCCATAAAATCCCAAGTAAAGGGAACTGTAAGGAAAAAGTGAATAGCCATTAATCCTGACAATAAAAAGACCAAGTCAACATGTTTACAATACCTTGTACATAAAGATCTAAATTTAAGGGAGTCTAAATTTTATGATATTATGCCCTTGATTGAATACCTTATTTGACAATGAAGTTACCCATAAACTATTTAATGTTCCTTGAGCTCTAGTATATATCTAGTTTTTTTTTTATTTCTTGAGAAGCTCATTAATTAGGTAGATGAAGGATCTCATGGGTCTCTAATTCTGTATAAAAGCCTACTTCTAAGAAAAATTAACATTTATGTTACAGTATAGTAAAATTGTTACAAATAAAAAAGTAAAGCAAAGTTTCATTAGATAAAAGAGCAATAGTAGGAGTAAGTACACAATGTGTATATTGTGTTTGAATAAACTGAGAGAGACAATACCTTTTAAATTCTTTTCTAATTGAATACCAGAGTGGGTATGAATGACAGAATATACTAAAATTAAAACTAAAATGAAAGAATATGACCATAACTATATATTGCTGGTGGTGCTATAATAAAGCCTAGACTTCAGAAGTTAAAGCATTTCTCATGCACTAGCAACAACTTGCAAATAGAAATTTGTATATATGATTTAGTTTGTACATAATTATTATAATCTCTAAGAAATTACATTGGAAAGTAGTGAGTTTGTCAGAGAAAATGATTTTTTTTTTTAACAATAAAACTATTTCAAGCATACAAAACATGGATGGACCTGGAAAAATAAAGCATAATGAATGAATTATAAAATCTTAGATCTTTCTCATTTTATGTTTTAAAGTTTGATGTAATCCATAAATGAAACATACAAATGTCCATATAATAAAATATCTTGTGATATTCACAACTAAATCCCATCAGTATGTTTTATCTGGTATTAAACTAAAAACTAAGGAGGTTTTTCTTTTGTTGATCTTGTCTAAATAATTTTGAATATCAATATTCTATTATTGTACTGCAATTTCTTTGTAATATCAAATAATTTATAAATTCATTCATTTGATTCAATTTTTCAAAACTCAGTTACATATATTTTTAAAGTTCAGCTGTAAAGTAGTCCTATAAGCATGTGAAATTCCAAGTTTCTTTGTAAGATTCAGTGGAAATTATTACTTATTATTTCAAAACTGTCTCACTCCTTCGGTCTCGATCTTTATTTGACCTAGCCTATTTCTCATATTGACCCACTGTTTCCTCATGCTTCCATAAGGTAATGGTTAGCATAACCAAAATTAAACCTTAAAACCACTTTTCTATTTCCAGTAAGAACACCTATACTACTCTATACTACTGAGCTCTCTATTTTTTCTTTTTTTAGCATGGCACATTCCCTAAGCTTAATCTTAGTTGGAGATTCAATTTCACACACAGGAAAGTTAAATCTATTTTTGTTTACCTTTTTGGGGATCTGATGTATTTGGAAAGAGTTTTGAATTATTGGTGAATTTTAAGGTGGGCTGTAGAGTTGCATTTTCTTGATAGGGGGTAAAACCAGCAAAGTTGTTACTGTTTGTGATAAGCCACCCAGTTGGTTCCGCTGTCAAGTGGGTCAAGGATTTGGTAGTTGGTGCTGCAGGAAGGATGCTAACTGCAGTGGAACTGTTGCCAGAAGTTTTCATAGTGTCATTATCCAAAGACCAATTGAAATTTTCTGATGGTACAGCAAAGGTGGAATTCTGATGTGGTGAGACTTGCAATAGACTTTCATTTGTTAGAGATGAGTTCAAAGGCAACTTAGAAACAAAGCCATGAATCAAGGGAGGGCTTGTGGAAAATGTGGGTGTGGGTCTTGGAACCCCAGAAAAGTCATCTATTGACAAGTCACTGGTTGCATTTATTGTTTCATTGATTGTGGGTAGGTATACAAGAGGGGAATCACTTGCCTTGGGATTGGAGGCATTTCTATTCTCATCCTCTTTATTTACATTTGCTTTTCCTTCCAGGGAAACAGATTTACTTTCCATTGTTTTCAAACCTTTGTCACTGCTTTGTATTGTGTTTTCTCTGGGATTTTGTTGCTCTTGGCTTCCACAAGGTAAGGAAACCAACAAAGTTGAAATCAACACAATTTCAGCAAAGGTCAACATTGTAGCTTTCATCGGTGTTGGTTTTATTAAGAGGAATCTGAAAGGAAATAATATCAGTTGGATTATTCAATGAAGTATTCTGAGTTTTTCTATGAATCTGCATTTTTAAAAGGATAAATCTAGAAACATAATGTTGAGCTGATGATATCCGTTCTTTACTTCAAAAAATTTTCTTTTGGGGAGTTTATGTATTCAAATTAGTCTTCTTGGTTATATCTTCTGTATAATATTTCTTCTTTCCTTCTAAGGAAATGCCAGGAAAAAACTGTCAAGCCAGACACAATGTTTTTAAAGATCATTTAGATTAAAACAAGACTCTATGTAACATATATATATACATATATATGTAATTAATTACACGTGGACTGCTAAGTAAAAATTTTTAAATATTATAAATATAGGACATGTAGAGCTGACTGATTTCTTCAAAGTATTTAAGAGAATATGCTCTTCATAAAGATTTAATTTTGAATATTTATTATGAAATTACTTTATTGATTATACACTAAATGTCATCTATTCGTTCTATCCTGTGAGTCAGTATGGAACTCCCTTAAGTACATTTTACTAAGATCTACTCTGAGTTATCTGAATGTGAAACTAGCATCTATTTTTAAATAATACTTTTCATGATCTCTTTCTTCCTTTTTAGCCCAAGTTGTGATAACTAGACAATGGCAGAATTAGGTGTGAAGCCATTTTGCGTAGTGTGAAAATGTCACAATTCATTAAAAGAAGATGATATGGGAAAAATTTTTAGAATCAGGTTTTTATTAAAATTCTGACTTCCTATAATAATAACCTGTGAAAAATTATCATCATGAGCATCTGTTGCTTTATCCTCATTAAATTAACCAAACTGACTTTATGGAATTTTTCTGGAGACTAAACAAATTATGTAGGAAGAAGCACTCTGAAAAATATCTGGCCTAAAGTAAGCTCTTGATTGACGTTAACCACCAGTTAGAAGTATTCAAGTATAATAATATGTCTACAGTGTCTTATGAGTTACAGAGTTTACAATATCATCTCACTTGTTCCTCCCAATGATCTCTTGAGCCAGGAAGAGCAGCTCATGTTATAAAAAACTGAGCTCAGAGTAGATGGTAATGGAAATGAGTAAGTAATTAAAATCATGTCTACTAACTACAACCTAATAGAGTGCCAAAATTTAAAGTTCTTTGCACTGAAAATTTTCTATTTAAAAATAGAGCTGGTAGCTCACACCTATAATCCTACCTACTAAAGAGGCAGAGATTAGGACAATCACAGTTCAAAGTCAGCCCAGCAAAAGAGTTAACGAGACCCTATCTTGAAAAAGTCCATCACAAAAAAGGGCTGGTGGAGTGTCTCAAGGTGTAGGCCCTGAGTTCAAACGCCAGTCAGTGCTGCAAAGAAAAAGAAAAAAAAGATGTTAAAAGCCAGGTGTGGTGGTGCATGCCTCTAATCCCAACTATACTCTGGAGGTAGAGCAGGAAAGCAGAATGTTAAAGCCAGCCTGGACTATATGGTGCAACCCTATCTAAAAAACGAAATACAAAAAACAAAAATGGTTGTGGGCATAGCTTAAATGGTAGAGTGTGCTTGCCTAATGTGCATGAGATCTGAGGTTCAATTCTCAGTACCACAAAAATAAATAAATAGACTATTTGCTTCAAGCAATAAAGTCTGAGAACTGACTTTATGCTCTTTGAACTGGACCATATTTTTCACTAAAAGCTTCCAAGTTGACTGAGATAGGAAAAAAGAAGAGGTACAATTGTTACTATTTAGGTCCTTTTTTGTATCTTTTTTTTTCCTTTGGCAGCACTGGGGTTTGACTGTAGCCCTTAGGTCATCTTTTGCCTGCCTTTCTCAAGAGCTCTCCCTGAAATTTTCACAAATATTTTCACCCTTGCTGATTTTTCATCAGTGTTTAAAGAGCCTGTAAACACTCCCTCCTATTATCTTTTATCTTTTGGGTTTAAATATTCTTCCCAACACCTTTTACTTAAAGAGTTTTCACATAATGGTATGAATTAAATAGAACTATAATACATTTTGACATATTTTCTTCAAAAGCTTAAAGAAAGCAGTCTACATCTTTTGATTCCTTAGGTTTTATTATTTATTTATAATATCTTAATACCTTTGATCCTTTTGCTAGTCATTTAAGAAAAGTCTTCTTAAAAAGAAAGCAGGCAAGCGCAAGTGTGTGATCCTTCCTTTGGAATCTAAGTTTGGAAGGGTAAGGTTTCCAAGCCAGCTCAGGCAAAAAGAAAGATCCTATCTCAAAAATAACCTGACCAAAAAGGGCTGAAAGCATGGTTTAAGCATGAAGCCCTGAATTCAAATCCAAGTGCTACTAAGAAAAGAAAAATAAAAGGCAGGCAAACATGTAAGGATATTCATAGCCACATTATTTATGAGTCTTTGGCCTAAATCCCATGTAATAGATTTGATGACAAATTGTGGGCTATTCATATGGTAAAAATTAACAAATTGGAGCTTTGTGTAACATCATGGATGATTATCACACATAATGTTTAAACAATCCTCGCATATTGTGCAATTCCACATATATAAAATTCAAAAACAGGCAAAAGCTCTGATGATAGAAGCTGAGGATGCTTTTGACCAGGTGGGGCACAAACAAGGTTTCTTGTTTGCTGGTGGTACTCTGTGTCATGGCACTGGAGGAATTACACACGTGCTCGCACTTGTGGTGATTCTGCTTCCTTATATTTTACTTGCTTTTTTGTGATAACCTATAATATTGGGTTGGGTCCTAAAATTGTTAAAAATTATTGGAAAATAGTGTTACTCATTATGTATTTCTGAGATCAGAGGTTTTGTGTGTTTTCTACTTGAAAACAAGAAAAGGCTCATAATCCCATTTATAAAAGATTAAATGGAACTGCTAAAACTGTAAATACTGTGTCCAAAGTCTCAAAGTTATTAACCGAGAATTAGGGTTAGGATTCAAACCCTGGCACATGTGAGTTAAAGCTAATATGTTCAGCTGCCTCTCAGTATCTACAGGGAACTTGTTTTAGGACCCCCGAGAACACCAAGATCTCTAGATGCTCAGGTCCTTTACCTGAATTGGGTGAGTATTCACTTATTGGGCGAGGTTCACTTACCCAATATACTCACCACTTATTGGGTGAGTATTCACTTATTGGGTGAGGTTCACTTACAACCTATCCACATTCTCCTACATATTTCAGACCATCTCTAGATTACTTGTAACACATAATACACTGTAAATAGCTCTCATACTATATTGTTTAAGAGATAACAACAAGGAAAAGCATGTACATGGTCAGTAGAGATCAAATTTTCTTCTGAATCCATGATTTGTTGAATACATGGATACAGAATACATGGATATAGAGGGTCCTTGTATTCATCTTTGTAACAGAAATAGCAAAGGAGGACAAAATTTGCTACTCTGCTGCTTTTTGGAACTTCATCCCACTGTTACTTTTTATTTTAGCACAGTCTCTCAAAATTTAATTTTTTTAACCAAAGCAGTTTATAAATCCATCTCTTTTAAAATAGTGGAGTTTAGGGCCTTCTAGCTTAAGCCACTTCTCAAATACAATAAATACACTTTTACTCTAATTTAATCCCAACAACTGGCTGTTTGTTTTGATGGAACCCTTTACCATGTTGTTTACAGATTCACATTCACAAAGCATGGGTAGATTATCCCTAGGACTTAGAGTTAACCAATGTGTCACTAAATATTTACAATACAGTTCAGTTTACTTTAGGAATAACTATATATACTTTTCAGAGGTACTTTTCTCTTTTGAAGGCTGCAAAGTTCATAGTAAACATGTCAGTGTTTTCCATTTTCTGCTGCCAGTGATCTGCTTTGTAAATTATATTGGCCACTCATTTTTTTTTATAAGTATGAAATTACATCTAGTTTTGTTAGAGACTAGTTAGTGATTTCTGATTGGCTCAGTTGTTTTACTGTTTGTATTGATTGGGTTTTGGTTTACTTACATAGGGACCTAAGATGCTGGATTTATGTAAATCTAATGGTCTTGAAGTTAATTATTTTTGTTTTTTATTAGCAAAGATTTAATATACAAAGGGGTTTCATTGTAATATTTACAACATGCATATCATGTACCATGATTGATCATGCAATTTGATTTGTTTTCTCTCTGTCTACACATGTTGCTTATTTTCTCCTCCAAAAAACTGTAGTTGCTAGAGGGGAAAGTCACTTAGCAGTTCTTCTAGTTTTCCTATAGTGTTACATGAGAAACGTGGCATTGAATGTTAGCTCCTTTTGTGTAATGAGAATCTACATACCACAAGCCAATAAAGTGAGTCTTGCTGTTCCTGTTTCAAGTTGCCTGTAACATTGAACCACCAACGGGCTCTCTCATTCCTTTACCTCTCTTTTGATTGTAACTTGGAAACCTACTGTACTAATACCCCAAGTATTTATTACTAACTATAATTTATCTCCTAGGAAAAGCAAAGGAAAGGCAAAATACAGCATGTTTATAGTTAATTTAAAGTTAATGCAGCTCTGGATAGGGTTTTTGTGGAGGCTGATAAATTGTTGTTATCCTGATGATGCAACATGGGACAACTTTGCTTCTATTGCCTGGCTTCTAAGAGAACCAGGTTACACTTCTTACTGAGGCACCATTCATTGTAAAGGAGTAGAAGCAGCCAGGAATTGAAGCCATTAAGTGTTCAAAACACCTGCTCTGAAATTTTTTAGGAGCAAGGACCAAGTGGTTTGGGTTAATTTTGACCCCATCCTGAATACAGACACTCCAGAGGACAACAAATGAAATCTACTTTTTCTCTTTGCATTGTCCTTTCACCTTCTCCACATCTCTAAAATTCAAACATTTAAATGATGTAGGTCTATTACATAAAACTGAAATTATGCTGGATTATGAATAGCATGCTTAAGTATGCCCAACTTTATCCATCAGCCAGATGGCTTGTGGGGTCAGACAGAATGTGGAGTGAAAGAAAACTGAAATTTTTAGCGGGAGAGA